TTTATCGTTTTGGAAGCCATTAAGAAAAAAATGCTCTTCTTGTTTTATCCTGTTCATTCTGTGTTTAAATGCAAAAAAAAAATCACATTTAGGTGTAATTTTGACTTTGATGATCTCTGTGACTAATTAATTGGTTTTCCATTATTTCTTATGGGAAAAATTCGATCAGAACTAGAACTTTTTAGGGTTCGATCCGGAGTCCGGAACGGATTAAGTTCGAGAACCGAGATACCGCTGTGTGTGTGTGTGTTTATATATATATATATATATATATATATATATATATATTTAATATATATATGTTTACACACACACAAACACGCATATATGTATATATATATATATATATATGCGTGTTTGTGTGTGTGTAAACATATGGAGTGGTCTCTTAATTTTTCCCAGAGCTGTATTCCTATTGAGACTACATACATATTTAGAATAAACTCATACCTTGGATTTCGACATGAAGCAGTTTTTCAGCTGTGCCAAATGTGTTGCTGAGCTGGACTTTATACTTCCCTGTGTTTGTCTCACGCTGTGCATTCTTAATGATAAGATGGGTATAATGTTTTGTGTTTTCAATGATGACATTCTCAGTTGGTTGCAGAGGTACATTGTTGTGAAGCCACGTGATCTTTGGCTCGGGGCGACCAATGTACATAACATGTAGACGTAGGCTTGCACCACACACAATATGATATATTTCTTTCAAAGGATATTCAGGAGAAAGCATCGGAGCAGCCTCAAAAATGAGACTTCCACTGGTTTCAGTTTCTCCTGCTTCATTGATAGCTTTGCATGTATAAACTCCTTCATCATCTTGTTGATTTGATGTTATTGTCAGTGAATGGTTGCGACCATCGGAGTTCATCTCATATTTTTTTCCCTGAAGTAATTCTTTTCCATGTCTATACCACTTGATAACAGGAAGAGGTCTTCCAGTGATCTGACACTTCAGTGTGCCTGGCTGTCCAAGCTTAGTTGTTGCATCTTCCATTTCTTTTATAATACTTGGTTTATGTACGACTGTGAAAAGTACACATGAGATATATGAAATTAGACCTTGCCCTGAATATATGTCAAACTAATGACAGAATGTGATAAAACTTGCAAAATAATATAATACTACTCCACAATCACTAAAATGATACCCAGTGTCACATCAATAAGTCTGTTACTAATGAAATAATTGTACACTTCAGTTAAAATGTCTCTGATTAAATCTTTTTCCTGAGCATCTAATATGTCAGGTAGATAGCAAGTTTTTTTTTTTTCATTTCATATAAGCATATTGCAAATGATCATTATTAATGTATAAACTTTTCATGAAACAATCTAGAAGAGGTTAGATATTGTATGTAGCTAAATGTATATTGTAATGCACATTGTATGTAGCAATATGCATTACACATATTTAAAGTATATAAACTGCTGAATATTTAACCAAAATGTATAATTTACAAAAAGTAAAGGAAAATACGGAAGAGGATTAGGGCCACCATGAAAATATTATTTGAATTCTGACTTTAATGTCAGAATTCTGACTTTTTTCTCAGAATTCTGACTTTTTTTCTAAACTCATAATTCTGAGATTAAAGTCAGAATTCTGAGATTAAAGTTAGACCGGGATTGTGTTTCAACCAACCATGAAGAGTCACAGTCACAGAGTGTTCAACTATTTGGTTGAAACAAAATCCCGGTCTGGACTTTTACTCTCTGGACCTGAATTACCCAACTCTGCAAGCGAAGTTACTGTAAACTTAAATATACACCTTGTGTCAGCAATTAAGCAACTCATCTGCCCAGATACTCTTGCCCATATGGTGTATTTGTATGCTTGCTATAGAGTCAGAGCATGTTGGAAAGTATTGCTTCTGAGTGAGAAGTGAGAGGGATAAAATAGCACCAAACTTAGCAGCTATGATTATCTTGCAGAAACAAATGGTCGGTCCTCTCTGTCTAATGGAGGAAAACTTTAGGGTAATGTAATAGATGATAGATGGTATATCAATGAAGCCCTAACTACAACAGTAACATAATTGTTCCTGTTAACATTGAAATGTTACTGTTAATGCTTAAAAAACATGACTAAAATTTAATGGCCGTGACAGTCGAAGTTGCATATTCATACCACTCAGTTTGGTTTTTATGCCAACGGTAGTTCTGCGTGGTCTGCTGATTCCAGCTTCATTTTCAGCAAATACTCTAAATTCATATTCCGTAGCCTCTAAAAGACAAGTCATGGTGAACACTGTGTCTTTCAATCGTTCTTTGTTGCACTTCTTCCAAGTACTTTCTCCAGATTTTCTGTATTCAACCCAGTAGCCAAGGATCTGTTTTCCCCCATCATATCTGGGGGGCTCCCAACGAATAGAAATGCAGTCTTTGGTCACATTTACAGTATCAGTCTCTCCTGGCTGACCTGGTTTGTCTTGAAAGAAAAGCAAGAGACCATAACAATATGATATGCAATGTGAATATTCTCAAAATTTAATTATTAGTTGTAGTAGCATTAACTTAAATTTTGTATCATGCATGTTTGCTACATATTGAGAGAGTTTATTTAATAATCACAATATACTTCAGTACTTTATTTAAAGGTAAAAGACTTCCTTCATTCATTCATTCATTCATTCATTCATTCTTCACTTACCAAATGGATCTTTGCATAAAACCAATTCTGATATGGGTCCTGGCAAGCTCTCACCAATATCATTTTTGGCAATCACACGGAATTGATATTCCTTCTCAGCAATGAGTCCAGTGAGTTTGTATGTGTTAGCCGTGACATGTGCGTCATGACGCACCCAATTTTCATTGAATCTCTCCCTGCGTTCAACATAATAGGCAGTGACACAGGAACCACCGTCATTTTTGGGCCTGCCCCACAATAGAGAAACTGAATTGTCTGTGACATCCAGAATTTCTGGAGGGTTACTTGGAGGATCCGGTGGACCTGAGGCAAAAAAAAATGTTATTAAATAATAATTATACAAAATAATATATAACATAAATGCAAAATGTTATTTAAGCACATAAGTGTGAAGTAAAAATAATATTTACTTACAGAGAGGTGTCTTTGGTGTGACAGATTCTTCTGATTTTAGAGATTTACTAATGCCAAACTTATTCACAGCTGTCACCTTGAAGTGATACTCAACATTTTCTTGCAATCCCTTGACAACCAGAGATGTGTCTACAACTTTTGAGTCCACAGTGTACCAAGCCAAATTAGGGATCTCTCGTCTTTCAACAATGTAGCTATGTATATCAGAACCGCCATCATCTATAGGAGCTTTCCAAGTCAGTCGGACAGAGCAAGCCTGAATGTCATTAATTTGAAGAGGACCTTGTGGTGGATCTGGTGGCCCTATGACTTTCACGTTGATGCTAACAAATTTTTTGCCACATTTGTTTTGCAATACAAGGTTATATACTCCAGTGTCATTTCTTTGGGCTTCCTTAATTACAAGCTCAGTCAGATCTTCACTGGAAGCAATCATTGCCCTACGAGAAATGTCATGTCCTTCTTTTGTCCACATGCATGTTGGTATTGGTTTGCCCCTGATGGGAATAGATAACCTAATGACTCCACCTCGTCTGACAACAAATCCATCCTTGTACTTAGCCTCCAGGTCATGATCAGGGGATTCTAGAAAAGAAGAGTACAGCAATTACATAAAATTTAGCATTTATTACTGAATAATATGTAATTTTTTTGCTGTGTGCTGACTTACCAAGCATTTCTGTAATTTTGACTGTTCCTGGGATTTCAGCAGGTTCCCCAGATCCTCCAGCATTGCATGCCGAAACACGGAACTTGAATTCAGCTCCCTGGGGCATTTGTGTCAGTGTGTATTCACAGATTAATGAGGGTGTTGTGTTACATTTAATCCATTGAAACGTTCCGACCTTCTGCATTTCTATTAAGTATCCAGCAACTTTGGAACCACCCTCATCGTCTGGAGGACTCCAGGCCAGAGAAACAGATGTTGTGGTGGTATCTGTGACTCTTGGATTCTGTGGTGAGTCTGGTGGGTCTGTGACATTTAAAAAAAAAAAAAACAACACAAACATATTTTTTACAGCCAATTTTGAGGGGAAAAAACTATATTCTTATATATGTATTCAGTTAAGGTCAAGAGATGACATACCAATAGGATCAGATGCAACTGCTGTTTTAGAAACAAAACTCGGTTTTCCAGTGCCTTTAGAATTTATAGCAGTAACTCGGTGCTCATATTCAAGGCCTTCAATTAGGCCACTAGATCTATATCTTGTCTTTGTCACTGGATTCTTGTTGGCACGTATCCATCTGTCAGACCTAACCTCCTTACGCTCAACAATATATCCAGATATTTCAAATCCACCATCTTCCTCTGGTGGGTGCCACGCAATTGTCATGCCATCCCGAGAAACATCAAACACTTCAGGTCTTCCTGGTGGCCCTGGTATTGCTATATGAAAAGGAGCAAAGGGTACAATTTGTTTTTTTTTTCACAGTAAGATTTAAATAATTTGAACATAGGTAGCCTTTCAAAAACTTACTTTTATTGCTCTTGCAGATCACAATATCAGACTGTAAGAAAGATCCTGTTCCAAAGCGATTAGTTGCAGCAACTCGGAACACATATTCATTGCCCTCCGTTAATCTGTTCAACTTAAATGTAGTTCTGCTGACAGATTGAGACACAGGCAACCATCCTGGGCGATGAGCATCCCTTTGCTCAACAACATAGCCACAAACTGGGGCACCTCCATCCCTCTCAGGTGGATCCCAGCTTATAGTAATCGATGTAGTATCACATTCAACAATCCTAATTGGGCCTCTTGGTTCATCAGGTTTGGCTAGTTTGGGGAAAATTGTTCATCTTGAATATTTAAAGACTTAATACATTTTTTGAAAATGTGATGACTGTGGTTATATCGGAATCTTACCAAGAATGATGACTTTGATGATCTCTGTGACAGCGCCTACAGCATTCTTCACTTCAAGGGTATAATCGCCTGTGTCATCAATTGTGGCGTCACAAACTGTCAGTTCAGAGTAAGTTTTTGTGGTCACAATTTTGACCCGGTCACGTACCCTCATCTTTACATCACCAAAGTACCATGAACAAACTGGAGCAGGACTCCCAGCAATTGGTACATGGAGCTCAACTGATTTTCCTGATAGTACATTAACAATCTTCTGAGGAATTCCAGAGAGATCAATCTTAGGTAAAACTGCAAAACAGATTTCAGAAGATTAGAAGAAACATCAATACATGAACATATAATCACTTCTAAAAGATGAAAAAAAATACCTTTTTGTTCCTGGACAGTTACTGCTGTCACCGTCTCTCTTGGTTCACTAACTCCTCTGCAGTTTATGGCCCTTACCCTGAAGAGGTATTGATCATTCTCATTAAGTGATACAACAGTATGCTGAAAGTCAGTTGTTTTTAAAGTGGCCACCTTCATCCATTTCTCCGTTCCGAATCTGCAAGCCTCAATGACGTATCCAGTAAGCCTACTGCCACCATCATGAAGTGGTTTGTCCCATGCGAGTGTTACAGTGGATTTTGTTACATCCATAACTTCAAGTTTTTGTGGAACCATCGGCACCTCACATACGAGAACAACATCACTGGATTCACGTGGCTCACCAATGCCATAAATATTTTCTGGAAAGACCCTAAAATAATAAAGCATTCCTTCTGGCAGTCCAGTGACTTTATATGATGTCTTATGGCACTTAGATGTTACTGTCTTGTAGGCTCTCATTGATGCTTCTCGTCTCTCAACAATATAATTATTTACTGGAGCACCACCATCAACACTTGGGGCATCCCATGTAATGACAGCGGAACTGTCTGTTATATCCTTAATATTAAGTGGACCTGGTGGTCCAGGAGTATCTAGATGAAAGAAAATACGTTTTAGGATTCACCTTCATCCACAAAATATACATAAATAAACAAATAATAACATGACAGAAAGCACTAATGTTTTTAATGCATACCGTAAATCTTCACAAGGATGGTTGCTGTTTTCTTGCCTGATGGATTCTCAGCCTCAACAGTGTATTGGCCAGCATCATATCGATTTACTTTATTAATTGTCATAGTTGTATGAGTGTCGGTTACTTCAATGAATCCTCGGCTCTGGAGATCTACACCAGGTTTACTCCACTTGACCTCAGGGACAGGCCGTCCAGTTACAGTTACAAAAAGGCGAAGGGAACCACCAGCTCTCAAGCAGATGGTCTTCTTCAACTCATCATCAATCTCAAGATCTGGTATTTCTGAGAAAATGGTAATGGACCATTTAAAATCAAATAACTTTAATGTAATAACTATTTTAATTAAATATATCTAGCAATCCCACCTAATAGCAGTAAATTCCATTTCTCTCTTTTAAGTGCTTATAGCTAGCTGGAAATGCATGGAAACTTTGGATATTTAACATAACATTTGCAAAAATGAAATCCATCCATCAATCAAGCCATCCATCCATCCATCCATTTCCAGTTAATGAATGGGTGAATGCATGGATAATTGACTGAAGTGCGCTATGCCAGATTTTATGCAAAACTGTTTTTATCTAAAAAACACTGAAGTCTATTTTCTCCACTCATAAAGTATGTCAGTCTGTCAGCGAAAAAAGACTTCTTACTCACCAGTTCTTTCCAAAGGTTCACTGGCTGTACAGGCGTCACTGAATTCACCGACACCATTAACATTAACTGCAGCTACTCTAAAGCTATACTTTGTCTTATAAGTGAGGCCAGTTGCAGTGTATTCTGAGATTCTGATCAGTTTTTCATGAACTTTGCTCCACTGCTCCCTTCCATCTTCTCGAACCTCTAAAATATATCCAATAACATCAGCACCTCCATCCTGCACTGGTCTTGTCCAAACAAGACTTATACTGTCTGTAGTGGTATCTACCACACGTGGAATAGATGGGGGAGCTGGAGTATCTGTAAAAAAAATAAATAAAAATAATTAGGAATGTCTGACTTAAAAGCTTAGTGCCAACATAATGTTTTTCAATGTTCAATAATTTTCCACTTACATGTTGGTTCCCTACAAGAAGCATAGAGTGAAACTGCACTGGGCTCACTTTCACCCGCTGCGTTTACAGCTGTAACACGGAACTGGTAAATGTTGCCCTCTAGAAGACCATAAATCTTAAAACTTGTGTCTGTGATTGTGAGATCTTTGTTAACTTTGATCCACCTCACACTTTTTCTTTCACGTTTTTCCACAAGATAGTTACTGATTTCACTGCCGCCATCAGATTCAGGTTTTGACCACTGAATAATGGCAAAATCTTTTCCAACGTTAATGATTTCAGGTACTCCAGGAGGTGAAGGGATTGCTGTTGTAAGAAAATAGCATAATAAGTAACCCAAACTTATCTGTGAGATAAAAGGGGTAGAAACTGTGTACTTACTGAAAAGGTTCCGGGCAACAATTGATTCAGATTGCAGTGGAACACCTGGGCCGTACTTGTTCACACCTCGGACACGAAAGACGTATTCAAGGTTCTTGATCATATTTGTAATAATACAAGAAAGAGCCTTGCATTCAGCTTCCACTATTACCCAGTTAAGTCTATTGGTGTCACGTCGTTCAACAATATAGTGGGAGATTGGGTCTCCACCATCCTCCATGGGTATTTCCCAGGAAACTGTGCATTTTCGCTCAGTCACTCCTGTAATTGTAATCTTCTTGCAAGGCCCAGGAGTGTCTGACAAGTGAGTGTCACAATTACTGCAAAGCATTTCATAAATCATGCTTAATATAAAGTTTTAAGTCGGCATATACTTACCTAGCACTTTAACATTGACAGCAGCTGTCTTGACTCCACTGGCATTCTTTACAGTCAGAATGTATTTTCCAGAATCATTTCTATCACAGAACTTGATAATAGCCATAGCACGGCTCTTTGTATACTGCAGGGTATACTTTTCACAAAGCTCTAGTTCTTTGTCTCCCTTTGCCCAGAAGACTTTCGGTTCAGGTTTACCACCAATGGCGGCATCAAGAACCAGGTCTGACCCAGCTCTGATAGTGACAGTGTCTGTGAGAAGTTTACTGTCAAGCTCTGCCACAGGAGGCTCTATATGTAGAGACACAAAGCATTGTTACTTTCCAGTTTAAACAGACATTTTAAATTAATGTATAGAAAATATAATTGAATATCTTACGATATTCAGCCTTGCATGTCACAGGCCCCGTTGATTCTGAAGGCAAACTGTAGACTCCATCTGCATTCTTGGCAATAACTCGGAACTCATACACTTCTCCTTCACCTAGTGCTGTTATAGTAAAACTGGTGTCTGTAATGTTTGTGTAGTTGCACTTGAGCCAGCGACCATCTCCAGTAGCACTGTATGGTTTGCGTTCCACAATATAACCTACTATTTCTCTGCCACCATCATTCAGTGGCACAGACCATTTGATCGACACAGTTGATTTTGTCAGGTCAGTCACTTCTGGCTTTCCTGGAGGGTCTAAATATGCAATAGGTAGGGAATAAATATTTAATTTATTTTGCAAGACATTTCATGTGGTAATATTTTTTCAAAGAAATTTTGCACTTACCCACTGGATTCTGAGCCACCATCCTTCTTGATGCTTCACTAGCTTTACTCAGACCAGAAGCATTCATTGCATATACTCTGAATTGGTATTCAAGACCTTCAACAAGATTGTTTACTTTGTAGCAGCATTCAAAACATGGGACCTTGTTGTCTCTCACCCAAAGGATGGTGTTGCGTTCTTTCCTCTCAATCCAGTACCCAGTAACCTTACTGCCACCATCATGATATGGTTCTTCCCAGCGAATGCTAATACAGTTTGCAGTAACAGAGAATACTTCTGGTCGTGTTGGTGCACTTGGGGGAACTGCAATTAACATTACATTGACAATCAGCATTTAGTTTACTTGCTAAAAACCATCACCCATTATCAAAGTAAATTGTACTCACCAAATGGATTTTCAGCTACAATAGTTTCAGATTCAGTAGGTTTGCTGACACCAAATCTGTTTTCAGTAGATATACGGAATGTGTACTCCATGTATTTAACAAGATGGGTGATTTTAATTGTTCTGTACTTTACGCTGGAGTTCACAAGTTGCCAAGCACTTGAGCCAGATTCACGCTTTTCAACAATATAGTTAGTGATATCACTTCCACCATCATCTTCAGGTTCTTCCCATGACAGTACACAGGATTCTGATGTGATTGATGAAACTTCAATTGGTCTACATGGTGCACTAGGCCTTCCGATGACATTTACTGTAATAGTAAATGTCTTGGTTCCTGCAATGTTTTCGAGGGTAAGGTAGTATTTTCCTCCATCACCTCTCATACAGTCTTTCACTGATAAGGTGGTCCTGTTCTTCACTGTCTTTATTGAGACTCTGTCTGTTTTTTTCAGTCTCATCTCCTCTAGTTTCCAAATTACATTAGGAGTCGGTCTACCACTAATGGGAACATCAATGGTGAAAGTTCCTCCAGTCTTACATGTGATGAGCTGATTTGTGATGCCACTAAGATCAGCAGTTGGTTCAATGCAGGGTTCTTTTATAATCACAGAGCTAAATGCTTCTCGTGCATCACTGATGCCAGCATCATTCTTAGCCTTCACACGAAATTCATATTCTGCATTTTCCGTAAGACCATCAACTACCATGGTTAAGGATTTAGCATGACCACCAATAACCCATTTGTCAGAGCCCTTTATTTTGGTTTCAACAATATAGCCTGTGATGCGACTTCCACCATCATGTTCAGGTTTCAACCAAGTCAATGTTGCAGAAGAATCTGTTGTATCAGTAATATCCAGTCGTTTAGGTGGAGCTGGTTCTGCAGTGGCAATAACTGGATCTGGCATTTCATATACTTCACCTGATCCATACTGATTTTCAGCAAACACCTTGAAAAAGTATGGCACACCTTCTAAGAGATCATTAACCCTCAAATGTTGTAGAACACATTTGCTACTGACTTGTTGCCAGGTACGACGACTAGCTTCTCGTTTTTCTACAATGTAATGAAGGACACGGGATCCACCATCATTAATTGGGGCATCCCACATAAGTGTCAGAGCTCCTCTTGTAACATCTTTCAAAGTAATTGATCCTGGGGGTCCAGGTGTATCCAGCACCTTCACTGTAAATGTAATTGATTTGCTTCCACTACTGTTTTCAAGAGAAAGAGAGTACTTTCCAGAATCATATTTGTTACAGTTGTCAATTGTTAAGGTGCTAAAATTTTCTGTAGTATTAATACCTGCCATTACACTAAACTCTCCTAACTCTTTCTTCCATGTAGTCACAGGGGCAGGATTTCCTTTAAATCCTACATGAAGATGGATGGTGGTGCCCTTCTTCACAATATGTGTCTGTTTGAAGCTGGCATCAATGTCTATTTCTGGTGATGCAAGTCTGTCCAGAGCTTTTGTTGGTTTAAGTATTTCACGGGTTTCTCCCCTTCCAGCTCCATTTACTGCACAGACGCGGAAATTATATTCTTCATCAGGCTCCAAATCAGTTGCAGTATATTTAGTGTTGGTGCAATTTTCAGCATTTATTTTATGCCAGTCTCCAGAGCTTACTTTACACATCTCAATAATATAACCACTGATCTCCATACCACCATCAGACAAAGGTTTGGTCCATTCTAGTCTGACAGAGGTCTTTGAGGAATCAGTTACATTTATGACAGTCGGAGCACTAGGAGTGCTTATTGGCTTACTACATCTTATAAATTCTGATGTGTTGCTAGGTGATCCGATCCCAGCATCATTGACAGCTGATACACGGAATTGATATTCACTGCCCTTAGTGAGATTTGTTACTTTGTGCAATGGCTCAGTGATGGGTATTTTTGATAAAACCTTCATCCAATGCATTTTCTTTTTCTCACGTATTTCGAGAAAGTAATTCTTTATTTCATTTCCACCATCATATTTTGGTATTGTCCAAGTGAGCATTATGCTATCTCCAGTAATACTGGTAGGATCAGGGGTTCCTGGAGCTTCTGGGATAGCTGTAGGAAAACAAATATTTAGCATTAAGGTAATATGGTTTAATTGGATTTTTACATAGTTTAAAATTTTAATTCCATATTTAATTTAAGTGTAGCTTACCAAATTGCATTTGTATAGTGATGGGATCAGATTCCAACGATCTGCCCGCACCAAACTTGTTGACTGCAGAAACCCGAAATTGATATTCATTGCCCTTGATCAACTTAGAGACCGTATATGAGCAGTTTTCACAATGGTCTGCAACAAGAGTCCAAGAAACCTTTGACGTCTCACGTTTCTCAATAATGTAATTAGTGATAGCAGAACAACCATCATTTTTAGGTGGATTCCATGAGAGTGTTACGCTGTCCTCTGAGATATTTGTAAAAACAATTGCTCCTGCTGGTTCTCCAGGTGAATCTACATTAAATATAAAATAATTTACAAAGTAAATCATTTTAAGGTGGTGTTATACAAATGCAATATAACTAACCAAAAGACCAACAAAAAAAACACACACACACACACACACACTATATATATATATTATATTTCCTCATAAGAAGTTTTTTATTATTATTTGTAATTTATTATTTTTTAAGTTATTTACATAAATCTAACTATCCATTCATATTTTTTACATTAATCCCATAGCTAAACTGCATTAATTAGAAATTAAATGTAAAATATCTTTTGCTTATTTGCAGCTTGTAAATCAAATACCTCTCTGTTGGAATTGATTGACACACATACGTACCTAAGACTTGTACGTGAATATCCTCTTTTTTACTTCCTGAGGCATTCTTGGCCTCTACGCTATATATTCCACAATGGTTACGGTCAGCATCTCGGATGAACAGCATGCTTGACCCATTGGTTGTCGTGATATCAATCATCATTCTCCTGTCAATTTCTTTTCCATCCTTAAACCACTTGACATGAGGTTTAGGGCGTCCAGTGACATTAACCTTAAGTCTGATATTATCTCCTGCTTTGACTGTGAGACCCTCAAAATACTCCTTTCCAAAATCAATGTTGGGAGCAACTGAAAATAGGACATAATAATTATTTATACATCTTGCAGAATAGTTAAATATATAAAAGGTGTATTTCCTCAAAATAGTTTACACAAAATGTTTTGCATACCGCTTTCATCTCTAACTACAATATAGCCAGAAGACTGGGAAGGTGGACTGGTTGTTCCAATTGCATTTCTGGCAAACACTCTGAACTCATAGCGTTCTCCACATGTAAGGCCAGTAACTGTAAACTGGCACTCAGCAACATCTATGAAGTTGCATTTCAACCAGCGATCTTTGCCTTGCCGTTTCTCAACACTATAAGCAACAATTTTGCTGCCTCCATCATGTTTAGGAGCATCCCACTTTAGTGTGACCGATTCACTTGTTACATCGCTGTAGTCAGGAGTTCCTGGTGGATCTAAATGTATGGAAGTTGGGAAAAATGCATGATCAATTGTAATAATTCAAATTACTTCAAAGGTATGAATATTAAATACTTGAAAGAAAAGGAAAATTAAGATAACTAAAAACGGAATGAAAAACTGTCAGCTTACCAACTGGAGATGCAGCCATAGTGAGCTTACTGGCTTCACTGACTCGACTGATGCCACAGTCATTCTGTGCAGAGACCCTGAATTGATACTCAAGTCCTTCAATGAGGCCAATAATTCTGTAATCTCTTTCTTTTATTATTGTTAGGTTTACTTTCTGCCACATAATACTGTTCTTCTCTTTCTTTTCAATATGGAAGCCCATTATTGGGGAGCCACCATCAAAAACTGGTGCATCCCACCGAATGTTCATGCCATCATTTGTAACATTGTAAATGACTGGCTTTCCTGGGGCACCTGGTGGTCTGTACTGGTGTTTAGCGATCACATTTTGCGAAAAGAGGGGCTCACTCACACCATATCTATTTTCTGCACAAACTCTGAATTGATATGCCACTCCTGCAATCAAGTTGGGTATCTTAAATGTTGTTCCAGTTACATTTGAACATGCCATCTTCCAATCAGTTTGGGAAATATCACATTTCTCCACAGTGTAGGAAGTGATTTCTCCACCCCCATCATCATTTGGTTCATCCCAAGATATTATTATGCTCTCTGCTCTAATTTCATCCAATCGTATTGGGCCAGTAGGCTTTGAAGGTGGTCCAAGAGTAATGACTTTTATGTGGAAAAGCTTCCTAAACACTTTGTTGTCGAGAGCTAGAGTATATTTTCCAGCATTATGCTTTGTTAAATTTTTAATCATAAGAGTAATTTTGTCAGCTGTTCTTTTGAACCGAACCTGTTGACTTTCTTTCAGTGGTAAGTTGTCCTTTAGCCACTCCATGCCTGGTCTTGGTTTCCCTTTGTATGGTAACTCAATATGTACATTATGTCCAATACGCACATGGATTTCTCCTTTTGGGTAACCTGATAGGTCTGCCTCAGGTGGAATAATAAACTCCTTAACAGTGATAGGTCCAAATTCAGTGAAGTCACTTTGCCCTTTCTCATTCTTGGAGCATACTCTGAACTCCATCACTGCTAATTCTTTAAGATTTTTGACCTCATATTCACATATTTTGCTGGTACCAGCAAATGCCCATTCTTCTTCATCCTTTAGTCTCTTTTCAATTACATAGTCAGATATTATGCTGCCACCGTCATGATCAGGCTTACTCCACTGTAAAGCTACTGATGCTTTAGTGGAATCTTTCATTAATATATCTTTAACTGGTCCAGGTGTTTCAGTGGCCCTAACAGGTTCTGTTGTTTCACAAAGATCACCAACTCCATGTTCATTCTCTGCTGACACACGGAAGAAATATAGTGATTTCTCTGAGAGATCTTCAATATCATATGTTGTACTGGAACACTTTGTGGTTACACTTGAATATGACCGCTTTGTAGAGTCTCTCTTCTCTATTATGTAATTAGCAACTGGTGCACCACCATCAAGAAGGGGTGCTTCCCAGCTGAGTGTGACTTTCCCACGAGTGACCTTTTTTACTGTCAGTTTCTGGCAAGCTGATGGAGTGGCAAGTACTTTAACAGATATTGTTACTGTCTTCGGCGTTCCAACACCATTTTCAAATTCAAGACGATATTTGTTCGTGTCATTGCGAGTAACTTGTCGAATGAAAACTACAGTTGAAGATTCACTGTTGCGGATGTCATATCTTGGATCACAGCTTATGTCCTTGTCTCCTATTTTCCAGGTGATGCTTGGGGCAGGCCTGCCTTTGAGTGGAACCATGATTTCCACATCAGTCCCAGCTTTCACTGTATATTGAGTTCTCATAGTAACATCAACGTCTACCTCAGCTTCCGCTGTTCAAAATAATAAAAGTATTGGTTATTTTCAACCTTTTTTACAAACGAAAAATAGCAAAATAACATTTTGCAAATCATACCAAGAATATCTTCAGCTTGCACTGGCTCAATCATCTCAAGTGGTTTTCCACGTCCAGCACAGTTAACAGCAGTTACACGGAAGAAGTAGTCAATTCCAGGTTTCAAGTGTGACACCACATACTCTGTTGTTCTAACTTCACCCTTGGAGCTAATGATGACCCATTCATTTTCCTCAGCCAATCTCTTTTCAATAACATAACTAGTGATCTCACTACCACCATTATATTGTGGCTTTCCCCAGCCAAGTGTGATTGATGTTTTTGTTGAGTCAAGGACTTTAATTTTGGTTGGCTCATCTGGTGGATCTATAAAAATAAAATATTGTTTATCACGTTATCACATTAAACAAAAGTATTAAAAACAAAAGTTAACATGGATTGTCAGATGACACAATCCTTACCAATTGGATCAGCAGCTCTGTAAAAATCAGAAACATCAGAGTATGGTCCTTCTCCAGCCTGATTCATGGCACAGACGCGATATTGATATTCCTTGCCTTCTATAAGATCCTGTACTTTTTGTGTCACAGCACATATAGGGTCTTTGAACACTTTTTGCCAACGTAAACACTTTTTGTCTCGTTTTTCCAAGCAATATCCAATTACTTCACTGCCACCATCCACGCTTGGTTTCTCCCAGACAACTGTCATTGATGACCTGGTAATACTAGCTACATATGGCATAGCGGGCTGTCCCGGTGCAACTAAAAAATAAAAAGAGAAGAATCATCTTGTGTTGTTAGTTGTGTCAGGTAACAGCCCTAATTCTGTTTTGTTTTTTACTTTATTTTTACTTACCAAATGCATCTTTAGCAACAACTGGCTCAGATTCTAGAGGGTCACCAATTCCATACTTATTGACACCTCGGACACGGAAGATGTACTCATTGCTTCTGATGAGCTTTTCAACTGATATATAGCATTCCTCCAACTCCTCAGATATTACTGACCATGCAACTCTGCTTGTTTCACGTTTTTCAACAACATAGTGGGTAACTTTGGCACCACCTTCGTCTACTGGAGGATCCCATGTGAAGGTGATCTTATCAGCTGTGATTGTCTTGAACTGAATGGTTCTGCCAGGAGGTCCAGGTTTATCTAATGTAAAGACAAATAATAATAATAAGTTTAAAGTTCTAGAAATGATCAGGTGATAGACAAACATAAAAACATGTTTGCAAATGTTCTCAAAAAAAGATAAATCACATTAATATAGTATTAATATAAATTATACTTGTACATAAAGGAAATATACTATACATACTATTATTTTTAAAATGAGATAAATGAACTACAAAACAAATACAAACCGAGAATTTGTACTCTGATTGAAGCTGATGTAGAGCCTGCAACATTTTTGATTTTGATTTCATATGTTCCACTGTCTAGACGATTGGCATCCTTGATGACAATTCCAGATGCATCTGTTGTGTTTTCAATTGAGAGTTGAGCACTTGATACCAATTCTTTTCCGTCCTTATACCACTCAATTACTGGTAATGGCTTAGAAATAATTCCAACTTGAATCTTGACAATGTTTCCAGCCATGAATTTGATGACATCCAAATATTCTGGCGGTAGGTCAATCTCAGGAGCACCTGAATACATGAAAACCATAACAAAAACACTGTAATAATTATTATTCATTATATACATATATAAACAAAGGGATTTAAAAAGGCACATACCATGTGCATCAACACATTTGACTGGTCCTGCAGTAAGAGATGGATTGCTTATGGAACCCAGTGAATTCTTTGCAAAGACTCTGAATTCATAGAACTCTTCTGTAGACAAGCCTGATATGGTAAAATTAGTCTCAGTGACATTAGTGAAGTTAGCTTTTGTCCATCTGCCTTTTGGAGCATCTCTCCTCTCAACAATGTATCCTGTAATTTTGCTTCCACCATCATATGGAGGCTTCTGCCAGACAAGAGTGACGGAACTCTTTGTTATGTCAGAGATGCGCACATTAGCTGGAGGCTCTGAAATTCAGAATGAATGTCATGTAAAAATAGAATAGAATGTAAATGCAGCAACAGCAGATGAAAGAAATAATTACTAAATGAACACAGGTAAAATAGATTATATACCACAAGCATCAATTGCGAGGACTTCTTCTGAGGTTTTGCTGATTTTGCCAATGCCGGCAGCATTTTCTGCTGCAACCTTGAACTCGTAGATCAAGCCAGGACAAATGTTTGTCACTCTGAACTGTGTGGCATGGATGGGTGTTTTGTTAACCTTCTGCCACACAGTGCTGCTTCTCTCTTTCATATGTAAATGGTATCCAAAAACAGGGTTCCCTCCATCTGAGACCGGTTCATGCCAGCAGACAGTAAGACTCTCCCTTGAAACCATTGTTACCCATGGAGTTGAAGGAGGTCCAGGAATCTCTAAAATTGAAAAGAATCAGAAAAACAATACATAATTTTTTTAGCATACCTTTATATGTTTATAGCGCATTAGCAAATAAAAAATATATAAATATATTATAATAATAATTATAATAGTAATAATAATTTACTTACTGTATGGAAGTTTGACTGTCACAGCTTTGGAGTCAATATGATCACTGATGCCAAAGCGATTTTCTGCCTTAATTCTGAACTGATACTCCTCCCCTTTGGTCAGCTTAGTTATATGTATTGCACTTCTTGCAGCTGTAGATGACACCTCTGTCCAAGCTGAAGTACTTGTTTCACGTTTCAATATTACATAGTTGGTAACTGGGCTACCACCATTATAGACTGGGGGAAGCCACTGGAGACTCACACTGTCTTCAGAGACATCAATGATTTCAACTGGTCCAACTGGAGTACCAGGTCTATCCAGGACCAAAATATTCACAAAAGTCTTAGTAATTCCCCCCTTGTTGGATGCAATGATGTCGTACCTTCCAGCATCATTTGCAATACTTTCTTTAAGATTAACTATTACATTTTCGAAAGTTACTTCAAAGTTAAATCTCTTTGTTACTTTCATTGCAGCATTATCTTTTGAAATAGTAAGCTTTGGTAGAGGCTTTCCAGTAAGGGGGATTTCAAAGGTGAGATTTGATCCAGCTCTGACGTATACAGTATTATGAGGGAAGTTCTTTAGGTCGAACTCAGGGGATTCTATAAATACAAGAAAAAGCACCATAAAAAGGTTATTGATACTTTATCTTTAAGACATAATCATAACAAAATAAAGAAAAAAAAATTAATAAATTTGTATTACTGACTTAAATTTAAACTGAAAAAACTCACCAAGTTTATCTTTAACAATCACAGGTGTAATTAACTCTTTTGGCTCACTTAGACCAGCATAATTTTCAGCACGGACTCTGAAGAAATATTCAGCATTTTCCTTTAGACCTTGAACAACATAGTGGGTTGTCTTGACCACAGCACACTTCACCCACTTTTTCTGTCCTTTTTCAAGAGCATCAATTAGATAAGTGGTTATCCTGCTACCTCCGTCATGCTCTGGTTTATTCCAAGCTAGTGAAACACTATCCTTTGTTACGTCAGTGACTCCAAACTTTGTGGGCGTGCTGGGTTTTTCTTTAAAAAATAAAAGTGACAAAAACTCACTTAAAATAAATTACCAAAATCAAACAATGGATATAAAAATAACAACAACATATGTACTGTATACGTTACCTGTAACTTTAATTCCATCCTTTGTCTCACATGGCACACCAACTCCAAATTCATTCTCTCCAGTGACTCTGAAGTAGTAAAAGGCTCCTTCTTGCAGGTTTTTCACTTCATAGGTTAGATGGTGGCAGTTGTTCGTGACACTAACCCATGCCTTTTTGCTTGCTTCATGTTTCTCTACATGGTAGTTTTTAACTGGGTCACCTCCATCATTGTCTGGAGCATCCCATGTCAGTATTAGAGAGTCTTTAGTCACCTCTTTAATGGAAAGTTTTGAAGGAGGCCCAGGAGAATCGAGAACTTTTACATCCAGAGTCAATGCAGCAGTGCCAATACTGTTGTCTAGTGTTACGGTGTACTTTCCAGAATCATTTCTTGTTGCTTTTTCTACTGTGATTGATGTAGAATTATCATTTGTATAGATGGTCGCACTATCTTTCAGATTGACATCTTCTTTTTGCCACATTACGCTCGGAACTGGTTTTCCTTTGAATTGTACTTTCAGAGTAAATGAAGTGTTATGTTTCACAACCAATGTCCTATGCATTTCTTTATCAACTTGAAAAGTTGGCTCTTCCACTCTTTCCTTTGCAACTTGAGGAACAGAGTGTGCGCTAGGGTCACTTACACCAATCTTGTTTACAGATTTGACAACAAACACATACTCTGCTCCAGATGTAAGTCCAGCAACAGTATATTCAGTATTTTTTGTATTTTCAGCAGCCACTATCCAGTCTTCTTCTTCTGTTTTCTTATATTCCACGTTGTATCCAGTGACAGGGCTTCCCCCATCCATCAGTGGCTTGTTCCATATTATTGTGATAGAATTCTTTGTTGAATCAATAACTTTTGGCTTAGAAGGTGGGGATGGCACACATTGTGGGTCCTCTGCGTTAGTTAATGGACTTGGGTCACTTGGGAGACTTAAACCAGCAGCATTTTCTGCATAAACACGGAACTCATACTGGCAACCTTTATGTAGTTTGGTTGTTTGGAAAGTGAGGTCACAAACACATTCTTTGTTCACACGAACCCAATGCAGGCCTGACTTCTCACGTTTTTCAATGACATAGTTACAAACTACACTGCCTCCATCTGTGACTGGTTTTTCCCAGCAGATTGTCATTGCCTCACTGCTTACATCTGTAATCTTAACATGTGTGGGAGGAGATGGGGTACTAAATGGATCTGTAGGTTTAATCGGATCACTCTCTAAAGCTTCACCAATTCCAAACTTGTTCACACCTAAAACTCTAAAGATATACTCATTTCCTTTTTGTAGGTTAGTAACTCTACATGTAGTTGCTTTCAGGTCTCCATGTACCAAAGTCCAAGCAAGGTGGCTTGTTTCTCGTTTCTCAACAATGTAGTGGGAAATTTCTGCACCTCCTTTTTCTTGAGGTGGTCCCCAGGCCAGTATACATTTTTCGGCAGTTACATCAGTTACGTCTAATGGTCCTGCTGATGGTCCAGGCCTGTCAAGCACCTTGCATTTCACAGGGAATGATTTAATTCCTGCCACATTCTGTAATGTCAACACATACTGTCCTGAGTCACTTCTGATGCAGTCTTTAATAATGACTGATGTACAAGTGTCTGTTGAAACGATATTAACTTTAGCTCTAACCTCAATCTCTTTACCATCTTTCGTCCAAGAAATAACTGGGAGAGGGCGCCCAGAAAAATCTGCAGTAATTTTCAAGATCTCACCAGCTTTCACAGCAACTACATCTTTAAACTTGGCATCTATCATAATCCGTGGTGGTTCTACATCATCTTTAATCATTACAGGACCTGTGCAATTTGATGGCTCACTAAATAATCCAGCAGCATTTTTAGCAATAACACGAAAATCATATTTCTGGTTTTCGGTAAGGCCTGTAACAACAAAGTATGTTTCCTGGACATTAGTGAAATTGCACCTCAGCCATCGTTCCTCTTCCTTGCGTTCAATTATGTATCCCGTAACTTTTGCCCCACCATCATATTCTGGTTTTGTCCAAGACAGTGAAACAGATGTTCTAGTTATATTTGTAACTGTAGGTTGACCTGGAGGATCACATGGATCTCTTGCAGCCACAGGTTCTGAGACTTTACTACATTTGCCAATGCCAGCAATATTTTCAGCATAAAGACGATATTCATAAAACAAACCCTCTTCTATGCTAGTAACTCTAAATTCCGTATCCCTGATGAGACTTCTGTTCAACTTTGTCCAGAGAATGCTACTTCTTTCTTTGACTTCTATGTGATATCCAAGGACTCCACTACCACCATCATTCACTGGTTCATTCCATTTGACCAGCATAAAAGTTTTACTTGCTAGGGCAACCTGTGGTGTAGAAGGGGGTCCAGGCTGCCTAAATGGATACTGTGCAGTAATGCTTGAAGAATCTATGGAATGGCTCCTTCCATAACGGTTCACAGCATAAACACGGAACTGGTATTCAGAACCATTAATTAATTGAGATATTTTGATAGATGTTCTTGCAACTGTTGATGAAACAATTTGCCATTCATTTGTGTTAGTGTCTCTCTTTTCTACAATGTAGTTGCTGATGTGACATCCACCATCATATGCGGGTGGGTCCCAAGATAATGATATACTTTCAGCACTTACATCATCTATTCTAATTGCAGCTGGTGGACCAGGCTTATCAAGGACAAAGACAGCAATTTCAGCTGTCTTAGTGCCAGCGGCATTAGCTACAGTGAGGTCATATTTTCCGACATGCTCTCTGGTAGCTTCCTTGAATAAAAGTTTTGCAGATGTTACAGAAGTGAGAATTGTCAGTGAAGTTGTCTGCTTTAGAGGAAGACCATCCTTTTTCCATGAAACGATGGGCTTAGGCCTACCTTTAAACGGAATTTCAATTGCGAGATCCTTTCCAGCTTTCACACTATATGTGTTGAAGATCAAATCAATAGTAGGTTCAGTTTCCATGTCCTTTGCAATCACAGGAACACCTAATTCTTTGGGATTGCTCTTTCCTTTCTCATTCAAAGCAATGACCCGGAAAGAGTACTCTTCACCTGATACAAGACCAGTTATTGTTGCTTCCAACACCTTAACAGTAGTGCTTACAGTCCATTTTTCACTACCCTTAGTTTGCATTTCTACATTGTAGCATAAAATTTTGCTACCACCATCATGATCAGGTTTCTTCCAAGAGAGAATTACACTGTTGCGCGTTACATCAAACAGTGAAACTTTACTAGGTGGCATAGGTACTTCAGCAATCTTAACTGGGTCTTTAGTTTCTGCAGCCAAACCTACACCATGTTCATTGACAGCTAATACACGGAAGTAGTAAAGACATCCCTCTTGCAACTCATCAACTTTGAATGAATTCCTAGTGCAGTTACTTGTAACAGTAGTGTAGGCCATTCTTGAAGATTCGCGTTTCTCTACAATATAATTTGTTATCTTAGCTCCTCCATCACTGAGAGGAGGCTCCCATGAGATGGTTACTGAATTTCTCATTATATCTTTCATTTCAAATTTAAGAGGTTCACTTGGGGAGTCGAGTACTCTGACATTGACAAATGCTGACTTTGTGCCACTTTTATTTTCAAGACTTAAGATGTATCTACCACTGTCAAATCTGTTTACATTGTCAATTACAAGCATAGTGTACGAACTTGTGGTTTCAATTTGTGCTCGTTCAGTCAGCAATCCTTCTGCTCTTTCCCATTTGACTTTAGGTTCAGGTCTTCCTCTAATTGTGACAAAAAGGCGAAGTGTTCCACTTGCATGTATAGAAACTACTTTTCTGAGGTCTGCATCAAGTTCAATCTCTGGGGCTTCATGCTTTTCAACAGCAGCAACACAGCCATGGATATCAGCATGTTCTCCAACACCTTCAGCATTAAATGCACAGATACGGAAGTTGTATTCATCATTTTCCTTTAGTTTACCTACAGTAAACTTTGTTGCTTGTATGCCAGTTGAAGGTGTACAGATAGTCCATTCTCCCTGAGTAGCCTCCTTCATTTCAACGAGGTATCCCTTAATGTATGCACCACCATCATCATCAGGTTTGCTCCAAGCTAGGGACACAGTTGTGCTTGTGTGGTCAGTCACTTTTGGATGCGTTGGTGGACCAGGTGGACATGCAGCATTACATGCCCTGTAGAACATTGATGGTTCACTTAACTGTCCCACACCAGCCTCATTTTCAGCAGAGACTCTGAACTCATAAAAATGTCCTTCCGTGAGTCCATTTACTTTGAAATGTAAGTCACTGAGTTTACTTCTATTACATTTTGTCCATCTAACACCATCTTTGTCCCGTTTCTCAAGATGGTATCCGTAAATTTCTGATCCACCATTATTCTCTGGTTGATTCCATTTAATAACCATAGAATCCTTTGTTATAGCAGTTGCTTCAGGTATGGATGGTGCACTGGGTGGTTTGAAGGGATTGCAGGCTGTTACTGGTTCAGACTCAAGGGGGTCACCTACTCCATATTTGTTAACTGCCTTAATTCGGAAGACATATTCATTACCAGCCAAAAGATTAGTCACTTTATAACTAAATGCTTGAATATCTGATTCAGCTATAGTCCATGACAACCTACTAGTATCCCTCTTCTCAATAATGTAATGAATAACACTTGCACCACCATCTTGTAAAGGATCATTCCATGACAGGAGACATGAATCTGCAGTTACATCAGTCACCTTGAGAACACCTTCTGGTGGTCCAGGTCTATCAAGAATCTTAACTGTGATAGGTATTGTTTTTATTCCACCAGCATTACTTAGAGTGAGGGTATAATTACCACTGTCCTCTCTGATACAGTCCTTAACTGTGAGTGATGTGTTTTTTATTGCATGCTTTATGTCATTTCTTCGAGTAGTCTTATCTATTTTATTTCCATCTTTTTTCCATAAAACTTCAGGTGCTGGTTTTCCATAGATGTCAGCCTCAATAACAAGAGTTTCCCCAGCATTAATAAAAATAATATCCATGTATTTTGGATCCATTGATGCTCTTGGGGATTCGATTTCATCGGTAATAGTAATCGGTCCACTGCTGTCAGAGGGCTCACTGAAATTACCAGCTGCATTTTTTGCAATTATTCTAAATTCATATTTTTCATTTTCTGTTAATCCTGTCATAGAGAACTCAGTCTCAATGATATTTGTAAAGCTGGCCTTCATCCAGCGACCTTCAGGTAAATCTTTCTTTTCTACAGCATAGCCAGTCACTTTGCTGCCACCATCATATTGTGGCTTTGTCCACTGAAGTGTCACTTGATTTTTTGAGATGAATATTGGCTCAGGTGTTCCCGGTGGATCACATGGATCAAGAGCCACAAAGCATTCAGAAACCTTACTTGATCTACCGATACCAACAATATTTTCAGCAAAAACTCTGTATTCATATCCACCGCCTTTTTCAAGATTGTTAACTTTGAAGATTGTATCAACAATTAAGATTTTGTTCAATTTAGTCCAGAGAATGCTGTTTCTTTCTTTACATTCAAGGTGATAGCCGGTGACTCTACTCCCACCATCATTAACTGGTTCATTCCATTGAACAACCATGTCATCCTTTGTCACTGATGTGACAAATGGAGTACCAGGTGGCCCTGGGGGCTTGTAAGGATACTGTACAACAATTGCTTTTGAGTCCAATGAAGAACCCTTTCCATATCTGTTCTCTGCAGAAACTCTAAATTGGAATTCTGAACCTGTTGCAAGTTTAGTAATTTTCATAGTTGTTCTTGATACATTTGCTGATACAACTTGCCAGACTGTGGTAGTCGCGTCCCGTTTTTCAACAATGTAATTTTTAATTTGACAACCACCTGTGTACACTGGAGGTTCCCATGATATTGTGACAGAATTATTACTAACATCATTGATATTAATGGGTCCTGTTGGTGGACCAGGCTTATCAAGTATAATGATCCCAATTTCTTCTGTTGCAATACCAGCATCATTTGTTGCTGTAACTGTGTACTTTCCCAAATCATCTTTGTTAGCCTCCTTTATTTTAAGGGTTGTAGTGTTAGGTGTGTTTAAGACACTTACCCTTGATGTCTGTTTTAGTGATTGTCCATCTTTCATCCACATAATTTTAGGTTTGGGGCATCCAATAATATGCAATTCTATTGCAAGATCATCTCCAGACCGGATGCTGTAGGTATTGAACATTAATTTCAACATGGGTTCAGTACTCAAATCCTTGGCGATAACTGGAGCAGCTAAAAGCACAGGAATGCTCTTTCCTTTCTCATTGTAGGCTAAAACACGAAAGAAGTATTCCTGACTAAATACTAATCCTTCAACAGTACCTTCACATGTTTTAGTTGATGCTGCTACACTCCACTTGTCTGATCCTTTTGGTTGCATTTCAATTAGATAGCCTATGATCCTGCTACCTCCATCATGTTCAGGTTTTTCCCATGCTAAAGAAGCAGAAACTTTAGTTACATTTGTCAAAATGACTTTTCCTACTGAAAGTGGGGCCTCAGACACTTTAACTGGATTTTTTGTTTCAACTGGATGACTAATTCCATTTTCATTTTCAGCCATAACTCTAAAGTAATACATGGCTCCTTCAGTGAGATTATCTACTTTACAAAACGTTTTGTCACACTTAGCAGTGACATTGACATATACCCTCCTTGTTGATTCACGCTTTTCAACAATAAAATGTTTTATTTTCGCTCCTCCATCAATAAGCGGTGGTTCCCATTCAAGAACGACGGAATCTTTCTTGATATCTTTCACAGCCAAATTCATTGGTGCTCCCGGTGTATCCAGTACTTTCACAGACACAAGTTCTGATATAATGCCACTGCTATTTTCCAGTGTCAAAGTGTATTTTCCAGTGTCATTTCTGTCACATTTATCAATTGAGAGTTGGGTATAATCAAGCCGCTTCTCAATGTGGACCTTATCTGTCAATTCTTTTTCATCCTTTGTCCAGTTAATCTTGGGAGTGGGTCTTCCTCTGAATGGTATATTTATTTTTATTGACTCTCCAGCACGCACTATAATTCCTTTCCTCAGTTCAGAGTCAATTGTAAGTCCTGGGGGCTCTATTTTGTCCTGCACTTTAACAGTTCCAGGAATAGCAGCCGGTTCACCAATACCTAGTTTGTTAATAGCACAAACCTGAATTTTGTATTCTTTATTTTCTGTAAGCTTTGTGATATCAAGTTTATTAAAGGGAAGGCCAGTTGCTGGTGTGCACATTATCCATTCCTCTTCATCAGCTTTGCAGATCTCCACAATGTATCCCTGAATAACACATCCACCATCATAAATTGGTTTCCCCCATGCTAATGAAACTGAGTTCTTTGTAGTGTCAGTCACATGGACATGGGTTGGTGGACCAGGCTTGAATTTTGGATTGCAGGCTTTATAGTATGATGTTGGTAAACTTGGTTCTCCAAGTCCTGCCATGTTTTCAGCAGAAATTCTAAACTCATATTCATGATCTTCGGTCAATCCTGTCACTCTGAAAGATAAATCTGTGATAGTTTGTCGATTACATTTTGTCCACCTGATTCCAGTCTTATCTTTCTTCTCTATGATGTATCCAGTAATTTCACTTCCACCATCAGATTCCGGACTACTCCAGAAAACAGTCATAGAATCTTTTGCTATATTAGTTACTTCTACAGATTGTGGTGATCCAGGTAGTAAAAATGGATTCTTGATTGTCACAGGTGATGATTCTAGCGGCTCACCAACACCATAGCTATTTACAGCCATAACACGAAATATATATTCATTTCCTTCCAGAAGATTGTTTACTTTAAATGATGTGACATCACATTTACTAGCAACTACAGTCCATGCAAGGCGGCTTGTCTCCCTCCTTTCAATGATGTAGTGAGAAATATTGCTGTTTCCATCATGTTCTGGAGGAAGCCAAGACAATGTACATGTTTCAGAAGTCACAGCAGATACATTTAGCATCCCTCCACAAGGTCCAGGGCTGTCTAATACTTTTACATAAAATGTAAAAATTTTGGTACCAGCTACATTAGCGACCTGCAAATTATAGTGACCACTGTCTGTTTTGATAGCATCTTTAACAGTAAGTATTGTTCTAAGGTCCGTTCTTTTGATCTCACATCTCAGCGTATTTTCAATCCCCTTGTCCTCCTTGAACCACTGGACTGTTGGTGTGGGCTTTCCATAGACATCGGCATCAAGCTTAAATGTACTTCCTGCACTGACAACAACAGCTTGACTGTATTCTGGATCAAGTGAAAGTCTTGGAGGCTCAACTTCATCCCTTGCTGTGATAGGCCCTGTGTTATAAGATGGTTTACTAATAGTACCAGCAGCATTCTTTGCAATTACTCTGAAATCATACTTGGAGTCTTCAGTTAGTCCAGATACTGTAAATTGAGTTTCAGTTACATTTGTAAAGTTAGCCTTCATCCAGCGTCCATCTGGTAAATCGCGCTTCTCCACTATGTAGCCAGTAATAATGCTGCCTCCATCATACTCTGGTTTTGCCCACTGAATTGTGATTGCATTCTTATTCACAATAATAGGCTCTGGGGTCCCAGGAGGATCACATGGGTCACATGCTACATATCCCTCAGAAATTTTACTGCATCTGCCTATGCCTACAACATTCTCAGCAAAAACTCTGAACTCGTACTCAACACCTTCATCTAGAGGACTTGTTTTGAAATAAGTGTCTTGAATTAGTGTCTTATTAATTTTTGTCCACAGAATGCTATTTCTCTCTTTTCTTTCAAGATGGTAGCCTATAATGCTAGTACCTCCATCTGTAATTGGTTCATGCCACTCCACAATCATGTGATTCCTTGATAATGAGGAGACAAATGGAGTCCCAGGTGGACCAGGTACTTTGAAAGGATACTGGACAGTCACAGATGCAGAGTCCAATGCGTGACTTTTACCATACCGATTTTCAGCAATGATTCTAAATTGATATTCTGCCCCAGTCTTTAATCTGGTAACTTTCAGGGTGGTCCTTGGTACGGTCGTTGACACATTCTCCCAATCAGTAGTGGTTATGTCCCGCTTTTTCACAATGTAGTTTGAAATATGGCAGCCACCGACATATTTTGGTGGATCCCAGGAAATTGTAACACTTTGTGAACTGATCTCATCAAATCTAACAGGCCCAGCTGGTGGGTCTGGCTTATCCAGAGTAATAATTAGTATAGTTGCATCTTTCTGCCCAACAACATTAGAAACAGTAATTCCATATATCCCGCCATCATCTTTTGTTGTTTCTTTTATGTTAAGAGTTGTGTGGTGTGCTGTATTGATAACATTAACTCTTGTTGTTTCTTTAAGAGCTAACCCAGCCTTAGTCCAAATAATTTTTGGTTTTGGACGTCCAAAAATTGGTATTTCAACTTTGAGGTCCTTTCCAATTAGTACACTATAATTGCTATATGCAGGCCTTACATCTGGATCAATAACAAGGTCCTTAGCCTGCACTGGGACAGCAAGAGATGTTGGGTCACTTTTTCCTTTTTCATTGATAGCAATAACTCTGAACATATATTCTTCTCCCTGAACTAAATTACTGACAACAGTGTCCAGTGTTTTCACAGTTGCACACCCAGACCATTTTTCATTGCCTTTGACTTGCATTTCCACAAGATATTGTACAATTTTGCTGCCACCATCATGATCAGGCTTTTCCCATGCCAGAGAAACACTTTTGCAAGTGACATCAACAACAGTAAATTTCTTAGGCACTTGAGGTACCTCTGATACTTTTACAGAATCAACAGTCTCTGCAGGTAATCCAATACCATATTCATTCTCAGCATGCACTCTAAAATAATAATTGCACCCCTCTTGAAGTGGTTCAATCTTCCAGGTAGTTCTGTGACAATTGGTGACAACAGCCGCATAAGCCTTTCTTGTGCTTTCGCGTTTCTCAATAATATAGTTTTTTATTTTTGCACCACCATCCAATGCTGGAGGTTCCCACATAAGTGTTACAGACTCCTTAGTAATTTCTTTTACTTTAAGGTTTAATGGTGCACTTGGTGTGTCAAGTACTTTGACACTGATGGTAGCAGTCTTTACACCACAAACATTTTCAGCTGTAACAGTGTACTTCCCACTATCAAATCTGTTAACGTTATCAATGACAAGGGAGGTACAACTGCTTGTCATCTCTATCTGAGCTGTATCTTTAATTTTACCATCAACTTTTTCCCATCTGATTTCAGGAGCTGGTCGTCCTCTGATAGGTATGAACACTCTCAAGGAATCTCCAGCTTTAATATTGATTGTTTTCCTGAGTTCCATTTCAATATCAAGATCTGGTTCTTGTGTCTTGTCTTCAACAAGGATTGTGCCAGGGAAATCTGTATGCTCTCCAACACCGACCTTATTAATAGCAAACACTCTGAATTTATAATTTTGGTTTTCTTTAAGTTTTTCAACTTCATATTGTGTTTGTTTTATGCCTGTGGGAAGAGTACACATTTTCCATTCTTCAGATGTTGCTTCACATGCTTCAATAATATATCCCTGAATATCACAGCCACCATCATAAATCGGCTTCTCCCAGGAAAGGAAAACAGATGTCCGTGAAATGTTAGTCACTTTGGGACTATTTGGGGGACCTGGTCTGAATACAGGATCGATGGCCATGTAATAAATAGAAGGGGAGCTTGATTTTCCAACTCCAGCATCATTCTCGGCTGAAACTCTAAATTCATAATTATGGCCTTCAAAAAGCCCTTTAACTTTAAAGGATAGTTCAGTTACTGTGTGCTTATTGCATTTAGTCCATCTTATCCCTTCTTTGTCGTGCTTTTCAATAACATATCCTGTAATAGAACTACCACCATCATTGTCAGGTGCTGACCAAATTACCACCATTGAATCTTTTGTGATACTGACAACTTCCACACCCTTAGGAGCATCAGGGCTCACAAACAGATTTTTTGCAATAATAGCTTCAGATTCTAATGGCTCACTAACTCCATATTTGTTTGCTGCTGAAACACGAAAGATATACTCATTTCCTTCCAAAAGTTTAGTTATTTTCAAATTAAGTTCCTTTGTTTCAGGTTCAACAACAGTCCAAACCAATCTACTTGTTTCTCTTTTTTCAATGATGTAGTGAGATATTTCATCACCACCATCTTCCTTTGGAGGTTTCCAGCTAATTAAACATTGCTCTTTTGTCAAATTGCTGACAGAAATAGGACCCTCAGGTGGACTTGGTCTATCTAACACTTTGATAGTGACCAGAACTGACTTCTCTCCTCCAATATTTTTCAAAAGCAATCTATACTGGCCTGAATCATTTGATGTGGCTTCCTTTACACTGAGACATGTACTGTATTGAGTACTTTTTATTTTACAGTGTTTAGTATTTGAAAGAATTTGTTTTCCCTTCATCCAGCTAATTGTTGGCATTGGTTTTCCAAAAATATCCGCATCAATTTTGAAGTTCTCCCCAGAATTTATTATAATAGTCTGGGTATATCGTGGATCTATGCTAATTCTAGGTGGTTCAACTTCATCCTTTGCAGTTATAGGACCAGTGCTGAGTGAGGGACTACTGAAGATACCTGCTGCATTTCTTGCAATGATACGGAACTCATACTGTTGATTCTCTGTTAAGCCAGTTGCCACATACTCAGTCTCAGTAACATTAGTAAAGTTGGTTCTTGCCCAGCGTCCTTCAGGTAATTCTTTCTTTTCCACAATGTAGCCAGCAACTTTGCTTCCACCATCATACTCTGGCTTTGCCCATCTAAGAAAAACTGATTTTTTTGTGACAGTAACAACTTCGGGGGTTCCTGGAGGATCACAAGGATCTCTTGCTACATAACATTCAGATAGTTTGCTTACTTTACCAATTCCCACAATATTCTCCGCATAAACTCTGTATTCATATTCAATTCCCTCTTCAAGACCTACACTTTTGAACTGTGTGTCTCGAATAAGTGTCTTATTTAGCTTTATCCAGAGAATACTGTTTCTTTCTTTGCGTTCAATGTGGTATCCTAATATTTGGCTTCCTCCATCAATTACAGGTTCATTCCAAATTACATCCATATTATCTTTTGTGGCAGCGCGCACATATGGAGTTCCAGGGGGTCCTGGAACTTTAAAGGGATACTTGGCAACTACGGTATCTGATACTAGAACTGGACTCTTTCCATATCGGTTTTCAGCAGTAATCCTGAACTGATATTCAGATCCAGTTTTTAGTCGTCCTGCCTTAATTGTGGTTCTTGGTAAATTTGTTGCCACAACCTGCCAGTCTGTAGTGGAAGCATCTCTCTTTTCTACAATGTAGTTCTTAATAGTACAGCCACCATCATATTCTGGGGGTTTCCAAGACAATGTAATACTATTAGCTGTAACTTCAGCTACATTTACTGGACCAGCTGGTGGCCCAGGTTTGTCGAGAACAACAACACAAATTTCTGCAGTCGTTTCACCCACAGTGTTTGAAAGTTTGACAGTATACCGACCAACATCACCTCTGCAGACTTCCTTGATATTTAAATACAAATGGGTGTCAGCCATTTCAAAATTAATTCTTGAGGTTTGCTTGACAGGAACACCATCTTTGTACCAAGACATAGCTGCTTTGGGTCGGGAAACATATGATATCTCTATCTTTAAGTCTTCTCCTGCCAGCGCACTAAATGTGGAGAACAACAGTTTTACTGCTGGAGTAATTACAAGTTCTTTAACAATAACTGGTACACCAATTTGTCGTGGATCGCTTGTTCCTTTTTCATTTCTTGCTGATACTCGAAACATATATTCTTCACCTTGTGTTAATCCAGTAATAATAGCTTCTGTGACTTTTACAATCATGCATTGGTTCCAGGTATCACTGCCTTTGCTCTGCATCTCCACAACATATGCAATTATTCTGCTTCCTCCATCATGCTCTGGCTTTTCCCATGACAGTGTAACACTATTCTTTGTCACATCTTGCAATGTGATTTTACCTGGAGGAAGTGGTTTTTCAGACACTTTGACTGATTCTCTAGTTTCAATGGGAAGCCCAACTCCATATTCGTTTTCAGCTAACACCCTAAAATAATAATTGCATCCTTCAAGTAAATTATTAACAGTCGATCTTGTTTTGTGGCAGTTAGCATTTACAGTTGCATATGCTTTTCTTGTTGATTCACGTTTCTCTACAATGTAGTTCTTAATCGTACTTCCACCATCAAGAATAGGAGGGTCCCAACTGAGTGAAACTGATTCTTTGGTTATTTCATCGATCTTGATATTTTGTGGTGCTCCAGGAGTATCCAGTACCCTTACATTCACAAAAGCTGTCTTTAGCCCCGAACTATTTTCTACTGATAAAACATACTTTCCACTATCAAATCTATTTACATTTTCAATTAATAGCCAAGTGAATGATGATGTACTTTCAATTGTAGCTCTTTCAATTGACTCTCCATTTTCTCTTGACCATTTCACTTCAGGAGCAGGTCTTCCTTTTATAGGTACAAACAATCTCAATGTGCCACAGGCTCTGATGGTAACAACTTTGCGAAGCTCTGCATCAAGTTCGATATCAGGTGGAATCTGTCTCTCTTCTGTTTTTGGTAATCCAGGGACAGAGGCTGGCTCTCCAACTCCTTCACAGTTAACGGCAAAAATATTTATTTTATATTCTTGATTTCCTTTTAAGTTAGTGATTGTAAATAATGTGGTCACTATACCATCTTTGGGGGTGACATCTGTCCATTCATCATCCTGGGGAAGGCAAGTCTCAACAATGTATCCTGTAATGTCAGATCCACCATCATAAACTGGCTTGTTCCATGCGACGGTAATCGATGAGTTAGTTGTATCTAAAACCCTTGGATTTCCAGGAGGACCCGGCTTGTAAAGTGGGTCACTAGCCTTGCAAAATGGAGTTGAGGCACTTGGCAAACTTAAACCTGCAGCATTTTCTGCAGTAATTCTGAATTCATATTCATGCCCTGGTGTCAGTCCTGACACTTTGTATCTTAAATCAGTAATAACCTTCTTGTTACATCTAATCCAGTGCAGACTTGTCTTATCTCGCCTTTCAACAATGTAACCAGAAATTTCAGCTCCACCGTTGTTCACTGGCTCTTCCCAATAAATTACCATTGAGTCCTTAGTGATATTTCTTACTTCAGGATTTTGAGGAGGATCAGAAGGCATATATGGGTTTGTTGCAATAATTTGCTCAGATTCTAAGGGCTCACCAATCCCATACTTATTAACTGCCATCACTCTGAAGATATACTCATTTCCCTTTAATAGCTTTGTTACTTTAAACTGGTTTACTTGTAAGTCTGAAGCCACATTTGTCCAGGCAAGCCTGCTGGTTTCACGCTTCTCAATTATGTAATATTCAATATTTGCTCCACCATCATTTGATGGTGGCAACCAAGACAACACACAGTTCTCAGCTGTAATGCAAGTAACAAGTAATGGACCGTCTGGTGGACCTGGCCTGTCAAGCACTTTCACATTGAAGACATGTTTTGCAAATCCACCAGTATTGCTTGCAGTTAATGTAAATGCACCTCCATCTCTTCTTGTAGAATCTTTGTTAATCAATATTGTTGAAAAATCAGCCATTTTTATTTCTAGTTTTGTTGTTTTTTCTATTTCCTTTCCATCCATAGTCCAAATCATAGATGGTAATGGGTGACCTGTAATATCAGCCTCAAGTTTGAACACTTCCCCAGCTTTTACAAGTAAAACATCTTTAAACCTAGCATCAACCCTAATCTTTGGTTCCTCAACGTCATCTTTACAGACAATTGGATCTGATGGTTCAGATGGGCTACTTACAGCACCAGCTGAATTTCGGGCAAGAACGCGGAATTCGTAGGAGGCACCTTCTGTCAGCCCACTAACAGTAAATGTAGTCTCTTGTATGTTACTATAATTAACTTTGATCCAGCGTCCATTTGGTAAGTCTTTCTTTTCCACTGTATAGCCAGTTATTTTGAATCCACCATCATAATTAGGCTTTGTCCACTTAATATTCACAAAATTCTTAGAAATGTTAATGGCAACTGGCGTTCCTGGAGGATCCACGGGATCAAGGGCAAGAGAAGGCTCTGATGGTTTGCTTGGCTTTCCCACACCAGCTATATTTTCAGCTGCAACACGGAACTCATAGGCGATTCCAGCTTCTAGCCCTATTGATTTGAAAATGTTTCCAACTATTAGGGCACTGCTTACTTTTTGCCACAAGATACTATTCCTCTCTTTCCTTTCAATATGGTATCCAATCACTTCACTTCCACCATCATTCACAGGTTCATTCCAACTAATTGTCATGGTATCTTTAGTGAAACCTATTACTTGTGGAGTGCCAGGAGGCCCTGGAACCTTAAATGGGTATGCAGCAACAACTGATTCGGAGGTTATTGGAGGGCCAACACCATATCTGTTTTTAGCTTTAACACGAAATTGATACTCAGCTCTAGGGGTAAGACGTTCAGCTTTGAAAACTGTACGGATTATTGTTGTTGATAACACCGACCATGATGTACTTGTTGTGTCTCGAAATTCAACAATATAATTGTTAATTGGCACTCCCCCATCATTTTCAGGGGGATCCCAAGATATTGTAATACTTTCATTGGAAATTCTGTCATAATGAATTGGCCCCTTTGGAGGCCCAGGGATGTCATGTACTTTAACAGTGATTATTTCTGTCAGTGTGCCAAGTATATTTTTTCCTGTCACAGCATACTGTCCACTGTCATTCCTTGTACATTCACTAATACAAAGGAGAGTTGACATAGGAGTATTTTCAATGTATACTCTCTGTGTCTGATTAAGGGCCTTGTCCTCCTTCATCCAGGAAATTGTGGGCTGTGGACATCCCAGAACAGGTATCTCAATTTTTATATCATCTCCTGCCTTGGCAATAACAAGTTTTTGACATATTCCACGTAGATCAAACTGTGGTCCTTTTGTTTGTTCCTTAATAATAACAGGACTGCTTTGACAAGGGTCACTTCTACCTGAGTTGTTCACAGCCATTACTTGAAATATATACTCATCATTTTCATTTAAATTTTTCACTGTATAGTCTAGAGTCTTCGCTGTTGTGACATGAGACCAATTCTCTGAGCCTTTCTTTTGAGCTTCTATTACATATCCAGTAATTCTACTTCCACCATCATGTTTCGGTTTTGTCCAAATGAGACTTGCAGAATTCCTAGTAATGGCTACAATGTTAACCTTCTCAGGAGCAGTGGGTGCTTGAGACACCCGAATTGCATCAGAAGTTTCAGCAGGCTCTCCAATTCCAAATTCATTTTCAGCACGTACTCTGAAGAAATATTCTGATCCTTCAGCCAAATTTGGAACTCTAACTGAACATTTCTGACAGTTAGTTATTACAGCTGCATATGATTTTCGTGTAGCTTCCCGCTTTTCAATTATATAATTGATTATCTTTGAACCACCATCAATGAGAGGCATTTCCCACTGGAGAGTGACACCTTCATTAGTAATCTCCCGAGGTCTCAGGTTGATGGGAGGGCCTGGTGAATCCAAGACTCGTACATTTACATATCCAGACTTTTTCCCAGCAACACTCTCTAGGGTTAAGTTATATTTTCCAGTGTCATGTTTTGTACAATGGGATATAACCAGCAGAGTATATGATTCCGTGGTATCAATATTTGCATGACCCTTAAGGGATATATCTTCTTTCAACCAGGTCACCTCAGGTGTTGGGCGCCCTTTGATTGGAACAAAAATCCGTATGGATCCTCCAGCTCTGACAACAAGAGTTCGCCTCAGTTCGGCGTCAAGCTCAAAGTCAGGAGTTTCTTGACGTTCCACAATTTCAACAGATTCCGCAACTTGAGCTGGTTCTCCAATACCCATCTCATTCATTGCACTCACTCTAAAATTGTATTTTTCTCCTTGTTGCAGGTTTGAAATAACAAATTCAGAAATTCTTAGCGCACTGCCTGTTGTGTCTTTAATCCAGCTATTCTCGTCTTCTCTTTTGTGCTCAACTATATATCCAGTGATGTCAAGTCCACCATCATATTTTGGCCGTCCCCAGTTGAAGGTAGCTGTAGATTTAGTTATATCAGTAATTCTTGGGTTGGATGGAGGCCCAGGTACATCTGAAAAGTATGATACTTAAATATTTACCAGTTAAAAGACAAAGCGCATTTGCTCTAACTACTAATAAAAGTGTCTATATTTATCATTCTTTAACCACTGTTAACACGAGAACACCTCAACGAACGTCAAAGTCCTTTAACCTCCAAATAAGACATACTTCAGCGTATGTAGCCCTTTTGTTTGCGCTAACATGCCACTAGTCTTCAAAACAGCAACAAATCTAACAAAAAGCCTAACAGATTAGCTGCTCAGTTGTGAAATTGTAAAGCTGAAAAGTTTTGAAACACAGTCTGCATTTTATAAAATGTTGGATAAATAAATGTCGTTTATTGGTGATTCCATGTTTGTCTAAATTTACACTTTTTAACTGTTAAGTAATTTTTTTTTATACAAATCAATCCAGGTGAAATGACTTAAATGAATTTCATTTTAAATGAATTGCAAAAATGTTTTTCATTGAGAGGTCTGCAATTCCGTTTGCGTTGTTGCTCTGAGAAATATAAAGTGAATATAAGAAAACATTACCTGAGTTAGTTTTCAAAATAATTAGACCACCCATAACCAATTAAGGTATTAAAGTCGTTTGGTATTTATGTTAAAGTGAGGCTTTTATTTTATTACCAGTGTGGGATTAAGACTATTACACAAGATTAATCTATGGAATCCAATACTGAAATTAATGAGCACAAAAACATATGACATAAACCCGACCGTATTATGGGTTTCAGAGATTTTTTGGGGTGACAGCAACTCTGTAGCTGTGAAGATTGATGACATCCTATTGTTTTCTTGATGGATGAATGGTATGCTAATGTAATGGCACATTAGCAAAAACAAAAGGTGCTATACGCTGAAATAGAATGCTGCTGGCGGTTAAATGAAGAAGAAAAAACGCTAGTGGTTCTAGTGTTATTAATAAATATTTTATATATGACTGAACAGATGGCAATTAATAAACAAGCTACTCACATGCTAGACTCTTAGTCATCACAGGTTGTGAAGGCTCACTGGGTTCTCCAAAACCAGCTTTATTTTCTGCAGTCACTCTGAATTCATATTCATTTCCTTCTGTGAGCCCAACAACTTCAAAATTTAAATCAGAAATCAATTTCTTTGATGCTCGAATCCATCGCATCCCATCTCTTTCTTTTCTTTCAACATTATACCCAAAAATGTTACTGCCTCCATCTTCAACTGGTCTCTTCCAAGAAATGGTAACTGAGTTTTTGTTGACATTTTCAATGTCTGGTTTGGATGGAGGACCAGGCGGACCTGTAATTGAATTTTAACAACATTTAAAGGTGTTCCATTAATGACATGAGATAGCTGTGTAATTATAAAAACATCAAAGCCATTTCATTTTATCATTACCTACAAATGAACTGAATCTGACTTAAGCAAAGTTAATTTTTTCCTTACTTTGAATTCATGTAAGTTTCAGATATTAATAAATTTTTTGTTTTGCTATAAATTTATGCTTACAGTATAAATTATTATTCACTACAGTCACTGGACTTAATTTACCAGTCTTAAAGTCTTCCATTACATATCTAGTAATTCTACTTCCACCATCATGTTTCGTATGACTAAAATGAACTAGCTGTAGGTGAACTATAGCAATTTAACAGCACTATTTTTATTTATTGCATTATTATCAAATCTCTTCTGAGGAAAAAAAAATCTATTTCAATATTATTATTCTATTTTAAAGACTCTCCACATACCAAAGCTGTCCTCCATTTTCACTGGCTCAGACTGTGTTGATTCTCCAACGCCATAATGGTTTAATGCTGAAACCCGAAAGATGTATTCATTGCCTTGGATTAGTTTGCTGGTAACTAAATGACAATCTGTTACATTTTCTGCCAAAATTGTCCACAGAAGGCGACTTGTTTCCCTTTTTTCTAGAGTGTATGATTTAATTGCAGACCCCCCATCATCATGGGGTGGTGACCATGTTAATGTAACCTTCTCAGCAGAAACATTGCTGGCTATAAGGGGCCCAGGTGGACCTGGAACATCCAGAACTGTCACTTTAACATTTTCCTCTCTAACACCAAATGGATTGCTGGCTGAGATAGTGTATTCTCCAGAATCTTTTCCGGTGGCACACTTTTTTGATAATGTTGAAGACGTTGGGGTAGATTCAATTTGGCATAAGTCTGATGGTTTGAGGTCTCTTCCCGCTTTAGACCACCGGGATGTCGGAGGAGGTTTTCCGGTTATGCTTGTTGCAGTTATTACAATTGTATCGCCAGCTCTAAGTGTAAGTCCCTCTTTCACTGTTGGATCAATAATTATGTTTGGTGCCTCTGTGGAAAACATTACAAGTTGTTATTATGGCAGAATAATGCACATTTAAAATCTTTTATTTTTTTCTTCATAAAACATTGTCTATTAAATATGTACAAAACATTCCTTACCGTATTCATCTTTGCAGACAATTGTATCAGTCTGCTCTGATGGAGGACTTATGGCCCCAGCTGCATTCTTAGCTCTTACTCTAAATTCAAACTTGCATCCCTCTTGAAGACCAGTTATGGTAAATGCACAATCCAAAACATTAGTACTGTTGGCCTTCATCCAGACTTTTGAGGGCAAGTCACGTTTTTCAATAATGTAGCCTGTCAGTTTGTGTCCACCATCATACTTGGGTTCAGTCCATTGAAGTGTTACGCTATTGTGTGTAATGCTGACCACATCTGGTTTGCCAGGAGGATCTAAAGCAATATAATGAAGAAAATAATAATATAATCGAAAAAAAAAACCTCGAGGAATATATCTGTTAGACTGTATGACTTAACTTACCAATCTGATCTAAGGCAACCACTGGCTCTGATGGCAGACTGGGCTTTCCAACACCTGCCAAATTTATAGCCATGATCCTGAATTGATACTCAAGGCCTTCTGTTAAATCTGTTACTTTATATTCCTTCATTTTCACTGGAGCACTGTTGGCTCTCTTCCACAGCAAGCTGTTTCTTTCCTTATATTCAACATGATATCCTGGCAGCATGTAAATATATATTATGTCACAATGAGAAACATAACATCCTGGGAAAGATTAAAAAAAAATAATACTTAGCATTCAGCTACCTGTAACAGGGGAACCTCCAGTCTTCCTTGGATCAGACCATGCCAATTGTGCTGAATCATAGTGGACACTCATGATTTGGGGTGGTGGTGGTGCATCCGGTACATCTAGTGAAAACACAATACATTTTCAGCCTCATTCTGCAACAGCGAGCTAACATGCTAAAATAACAAATACTTACTGAATGGATGCTTGGCCACAACAGAATCAGATTTGAGGCTTTCTCCAATTCCATACTTGTTTTCTGCAGAAACTCTAAATGTGTATTCAGTTCCTTCATGAAGACCAGTTACTCTTAAACTGTTTGTCTGCACAGTAGAAGAACAGGTAACCCACATATTGGTTACTGAATCCCTCTTTTCAAGAATGTAATTGGTTATTTCTGATCCTCCGTCATCCTTTGGAGTACCCCATTTTAAGGAGATTCCTTCAGCTGTGATTTCATCAAACTTGATTGGTCCTGTGGGTATTCCTGGTTTTCCAACCACTTTCAGAAATATGGCAGATTCTTTGGTGCCAGCACTATTTCTTAGAGTTATTGTGTATTTTGAGGCATCACCTCTTTGGCAGTCATGAATCAGCAAGGTTGTGTGGACAGCTGTGGATTCAACAGATACTCGGCCACTATCAGTTAAAGTAACATCTTCACCTTTTTTCCATGTTACAGTAGGAGCAGGTTTGCCACTTATGGGTATTTTCAGGCGAACAGTACTTCCCTCTTTAGCAGTATAGCATAAATTTGGCAAGTCTCTTAAGTCACATCCAGGTAGAACTAAAAGACAAAAAGGACCAAGTAGAAACTTAAAAGTCATTTTTACAAGTCATTTTTTTTTTACAATTCTCAAAATAATCTTACCTGTGTGGTCTTTAGCCAGAACATTAAGTTCCTCTGCAACACCATCTCCAGCATCATTTACTGCTCTCACTCTATAAGTATACTCCTTTCCTTCTATAAGGTCTTTGGCACTGTACTGCATATTCTTTGACTTCATGAGGTTCTTCCAAGTATCTTTTCCATTTTTCACTTCCAACACATATGCTATTATACGACTTCCTCCATCACTAATTGGTTTCTTCCAAGCAAGTGTACATGAATTTTTTGTCACCAGTAACGCCTTGAAGTCCAAAACTGGTCCTGGTTGTTCTAAAAAAAATATTTATATATATATTCCTATTAACAAAATACTATTAATACACACCAACCTTTTAAAATAATGTTCTAAATAAATTTATACTATTCACATACCTGAAGCTCTTACAGCATCCGTAATTTCACATGGCTCCCCAACTCCATATTCATTTTCAGCTAATACTCTGAAAAAATAAGATCTTCCTGGCTCCAAGTCTTGAATCAGAAAAGATGTTTTGGTGCAGTCATATGCAACTGTAGACCAAGACTTTCGTTCGGCATCACGTTTTTCAATTATGTAATTCTTTACTGGGCTTCCTCCATCTATTAACGGAGCATCCCAAAGAAGTGAAGCACTATTCTTTGATGTTTCCTTTACCATTAGATTAAGCGGTGGTCCAGGGGTATCTGTATCACAGATAAAATTATTTACAATTAAAATTCTTTTTTTTTTTCCCCAAAATTTAAAACAAAAACTTATTCAGAGTAACTTACCAAAAACCTTTACAGTAATTGTGTACATTTTCACTCCACTGCTGTTTTCCAGATTCAGAATATATTTTCCTGCATCATATCTGTTCACTTTCTCAATATAAACAAGAGTATCAAATTGTGTTGTCTTAATCACAATTCCTGGTCTATCTTTAATATTGGTATTCATCTTGGCCCATGTTGCCTTGGGAACAGGACGACCCCGTAGTAGAATGTACAACCTCATTGGGGTTCCAGCACGCAACTCTACAGTTTTCTTTAGCTCTTCATCAAGTTCTGCTTCGGGAGGAACTGAAATAATAAGTGGTGGAAAACAATTGAATGAATATTTCTAATCACTGATAATTGGGCTATACTTCAGTAAACTGAATTTAGTTAATTTCTAACTACATAAATAAATGTCACAGACAACTTTACCCAAATATTTGGACAGACACTCTAAAATATGAGCATACATACCCAAAATGTCCTTGGCAGTATATTTGCCTGGAACTTCACTTGGTTCACCAAATCCAACCTTGTTCACAGCTGTGACACGAAACATGTATTCAGTATTCTCAGTAAGTCCAGTAACAATGTAATTTGTCTCTTGAAGGTTCCTTGGTACATTGCACCGTGTCCAGTCAGCAGCATCGGCTCTCTTGCTTTCTACGAGGTAGCCTAATATTTCACATCCACCATTATTAGCTGGTTCTGTCCAGCATAAACTGACAGTGCAATTAGTTGTGTCAACAACTTTTGGCGAGATTGGTGGTCCTGGAGGATCTGTGGAGCAGCACATGTAAGCATGGTAATGATTTTGGATTTTATAGCAGTTGTTCACATTTCCAAAGGTACAGACACTTTTATTTACTTACATAAAGGATCCTGAGCAATAGCGGCTTTGGATGGATCACTTGGTTTGCCAAGGCCAGCTTTATTAAGAGCAATAACTCTGAATTTATATTCGTTTCCTTCTGAAAGACCAGTAGCTTCAATAGATCTCTCTGTTATTGGTTTTCTGTTGACTTTATCCCACTTTACATCTTTGGTTTCCTGCTTTTCAACCATGTAACCAAGGATAGTGGACCCACCATCACTTGCAGGTTCTTTCCAACTCACAGTCATATGATCCTTTGTTATGTTTGTAATAATTGGAGGATCACAAGCACCAGGGACATCTATAATTTAAAAAAAAATGGAGTGAGTCCTTGAACTAATGAAACAAGGTCTGTAATTTTCTTTTGTGACAAATAAGAAATACATAAAACATTTACCAAATGGGTTCTTAGCAACAATGGGGTTTGTCAGGGTAGGATCACCCACACCGTATTTGTTCTCAGCATGAATACGGAACTGGTACTCATGACCCTCAATCAGTTTTTCTACAGAATAGTCAGTCTGCTGAGCACTGATTTTGGATGTGACTTGAGCCCAGTTTGCTCTGCTTGTTTCACGTTTATCAACAATGTAGTTGGTAACTGCAGAGCCACCATCTGTAATGGGTGGCTCCCAGCTCAGCCTGATGTGATCCGCATACACATCTCCAAACTTGACAGAAACTGGTGGGCCAGGTACATCTAAAGAAATAAGCATAGAACGTCAAATATATTTCTCAAATATATAATGTTCACACATACTTCTTTCTATACATTTTACTTACCTAAAACTGTGAGTTTAATTTCACCTGATTTAGAACCACTTGCATTTTCTGCCAAAATAGTGTACTCTCCAGTCTCATTTCTTGTTACCGATAATAGCTCTAGGAAGAACAGATTTCTTTTCTGTGACATCTTCAAGACTTCAGAAGGTTTCAGTATCTCTCCATTCCTCTTCCAGGTAATTTTTGGCATTGGCTTTCCAAATACTTGAGCTTCAAGACACACATTTTTGCCAGCTTTAACCGGTTGCAGTGCCTTCATTTGAAGCCCAATTTCTATAGTTGGTGCCACTGAAAAGACAAAAAAAAAAATGATCACCAGGATATAAATTTCCAAATAAATATTCCATATTGAGCTCATACTTTTTCATGAATAGTCTTACCATTTTCAGAAGATATTAGAACTGGATCAGACATTTCAGATGGTCTGCTGATGTTCACTGCAGTTTTTGCAAGTATTCTGAACTGGTATTTTCTGCCTTCCTCCAGCCCTGTTACAGTGTATTCTTCTTTGGGTAAATTTTGGCTGATTATGTTGTAGCGCACCCATTTGTCTTCAGGAATCTTTAGAGCTTCAATGTAATATCCAATGATCTTACTGCCACCGTCATGTTTTGGTCTGTTCCATAACAGCGTAACTGAATTCTTAGTCACATCAAGCACTTCAGGCTTGCTTGGTGGATCTGTAAGAGAATGACCCAGGGAAACGAGGAACTAGTAACACGTAATCATTACTACATGAGAAAAGCAAGATAAAGGAGCATAAGAAAACCTTACCAACTGGTGTTCTTGCTGTAGCAAATTCAGTATTTTTGCTTGGTTTTCCTTGTCCAGCACGATTAATGGCTGATACCCTGAAGGTATATTCCAAACCTTCAATAAGTCCGCTGCAAGGATATTCAGTTGTGCGAACAACTGTGTCATTAGCCTTTACCCAAAGAAGGCTGTTCCTTTCTTTACGTTCAATGTAGTATCCAGTTATTGGACTGCCACCATCATTGGCTGGTTTCTCCCAGGCAACAAACATGCAGTCTTTATTGACTTTTAAGATATGACAATTCAAAGGTTCACTTGGTAAATCTGAAAATGAGCAGAATTTTAGGTCTAGGTTCCATTGCAAAAAATGTACAATCTAGAAATTCATTTCAAAGGATCTCACCAAAGGGGAATTTGGCAATCATCCGCTCAGAAACAATAGGCTCTCCAAGGCCAAAACGGTTCTCAGCTCGAACACGGAATATATACTCCTTCCCAGGAATAAGCTTCCCTACTGTGCAAGTAGTCTTAGTGCATGATGATACAGCAATGACCCAATCATTTCTGCTCATGTCACATTTTTCCACCACATAGTTAGTGATAGTACTACCACCATCCTCAAGTGGTGATTGCCAAGATAGGGTGCAAGTATCAGCATTGATATCACTGATTAGAAATGGTGGTTCTGGGGGACCAGGGATATCTGAAAGATATTGATCAATTATTTTTTATATATGTCTTTCAAAACATTTTTTGCAGGAATCAATCATTCACAGGAATTAATTTTGCTTGTGAAACTTACCCTTGATGATAATTTTCAAACTCTGCTCCACTTGTCCAATACTGTTCTCAGCTGAAAGGCTGTACTGACCACTGTCCAGTCTTGATACATCTTTGATAATGAGCACACAACTGTTCTGAGATTTGTGCACAGTTAGACGACTAGAAGGGATGACCTCCTCTTCATTTCTGTTCCATTTACATACCGGTGTTGGTTTTCCAGAAACAAGAGCTTCCACCCTGAGTTTTTCTCCTGCCTTTGCAGTCACAGTATCAACCATAATAATCTTTGGTGGCACTAAATAAAATAAATAAATAAAACCAGAAAGAAAGATTAGAGTTTGTATACAGTATGCTGTTTTAACTGAAAAAAAATAAAAATCATGCAATGAAAGTGTGAAATACTGTTGACTTACACATTTGCTCCTTGATCTCAACTTCTCCTTTGGTTTCTGTGGGTAGACTGCAACCCATTACATTTCTTGCTGACACTCTGAATTTGTATTTCATGTTTTCTTTGAGTCCAACAACAGCAATACTCAGGTCTTTCACAATAGAATATGGCATCCATTGTTCCTCTGGTTTAATTTGCTCTTGGACCACAAGTTGTCCATCTTTGATTTCTTGAGGTGGAATCACCAACATGTAATCAACTACATACCCATCAATTTTAGCTCCCCCATCTCTCAGTGGTTTCACCCATGCCAGAGTTGTGCTATTCTTTGTAATTTCCAATACATCAATCTTTAATGGTGGGTCTGGTTTACCTGCAATGTCAAACCCATACAAATTAGAATGCATTCAAAATGAATTTCCTTTCAGTTTTATCATAACCAGTGTTCAGGTAGGTGTTCTCTAAAACTACAAATTCCCCAGTTTACAACATAAAAATACAAGGACACACATCATAGTCCTTTATTTTCAGTACTTTGGGCAGGCATGTTATCTTATTAGGTAATTGGACAGGTTGATCATTGCATTGGCAGTGGTAGAAAGGTTGTTTCTGACCTGGGCAAAGCTTACATTTAGCAGTAATATTCTTGTGTTTTTGTGCAGTAAAATGAAAATAATAAGAGGATCTCCACTTACGGAAGCACCCTGTCTTTTCTGCCATGTTTCCTTTGTAAATTTCCTCTCTAATCTTGAAATGTCTATGATTAAAATCAATCAGCATACATGTGCTTTGAAGCACATGTCCACTTCCAAAACAACTCGAAAGTGCGGCCATCATTGGAACACTTTATTGACCAATTAGCGCCCAGGACTGGAAATATCCATTTTATAAGTAACATTTAAATATTCAGCACAAAAACATTATTTTGAAAATACGTGTGTAACGTAGGAAAGGACATTTTAATAATCCAGTAACTGAAATGTGACTGCTGAAATCTGAACTGCAATGCTTTGCTTTATTTTGTTATAGAGGAAAGTAGTATAATTAAGGTAAAACATTACTTTGTAACTCATTGCCCCCAACACTGGTGCCCAGCATATTTAATCAGCATCAATACACTTACTTATGGGATTTGATGCTAGGTAGGATTTTGGAGAAATCTTTGGCACTCCAGCTCCATATTCATTAACTGCTGTCACTCTGAAATAATATTCTGTTCCTGATATAAGATTTGTTATTTTCAGGTTTGTCTTTTTCACATCGTTGTTGACTGTTGCCCAGGTCTTTCTGTCAATTTCACGTTTTTCAACTATGTAGTGAGTAATTTCGCTTCCACCATCATTTTCAGGGGGAGACCAAGAGAGATTGCAGGATACCATTGTGATATCATTGGCTTCCAGACCTTGTACAGGTCCAGGGGTGTCTATTAATTTAAAAGGAAAAAAACAGGCTTCTTTGAGTTTCATTATCGCATTGTGTTGTATTATCAATCTGCAACTATAATTTCATTGGAAGGCATCCTTACCCAGCACTTGAACATTCACAAAAACAGCTTTCTCTCCCGCAGGGCTGGTTAGAGTAAGAGAATATTTTCCCGAATCATCCCGTGTGCTCTCAGGGATGACCAGGAATGCCATAGTATCTATTAAATCCACCTGACCTTTTCTTACAACATTGTCTATACCCATTCTCCTCCATGTCACCTTTGGTGCTGGTCTTCCTCTAACTGTGGCACACAATCTTATGGGGCATCCAGCACGAACAGTAAGACCCTTTCTCAGATTAGCATCCAATTCAATATCTGGTGCCTCTGTAAAAAGAAAGAAAGAAGAAAATTAAGAAATTTTACTTTATACATTCTGAATAGATCCAGCCAACCATTCATCCATTTTTATACAGGCTTTTCCTATATAGGGTTGCAGAGCTTATCCCAGAAGCTATGGGTGCAAGGCAGGAAATAACCCAGGACTGGACGCCAACCCATCACAGGGCACGTCCACACACCAGTAACACCTATGGACAATCTAGCAACTCCAGTTCACCTTAGCATGTTTTTGGACTGTGGGGGGAAACTGGATGACCTGGAGCAAACCCCATGATGACACACGTACAAAATGCAGATGTTGAGCCGAGGCATTGATTCAAACACTAGAGTCCAAATGTGGGAGGCAACTATGCTAACCACTGTGTCATTAAGTAAAATATACAAAATTGCTATACAGCAGGTCAGTGATTACCTAGGATCTCTTTGGGCGACACAGCATCTTTGAGATTGGCTGGTTGACTCATGCCAACCTGGTTCTGTGAATACACACGGAATTCATACTCCAGTTTTTCATCCAGACTAGTAACAGTAAAGTCTGTCACTGCCAGTCGAGCAGCAACATTACATCTTTTCCAGCCTTCATCTGCGCTTTTACTTGCACCCTTAATTCTAAACTCAACTACATATCCAATGATTGGAGCACCACCATCACAAACTGGCCTTTGCCAGCAGAGTGTGATGGATGTCTGTGTGCTGTCAGCAACCTTCAAATCTTCAGGAGGGCCAGGAGGTCCTGCAAAGTTTAAAAAAATACATTCATCTATATATAAAGTACAAAAGACACCAGCAGAATTTTGACTTTTTTTTGATTTACAGGAACAAAAAATTCAAAGTAATTAAATACAAAATAATAATAATAATGCCAACCATTGTACAAATAACGAAATATGCAATTGTTTCTATATAAGCAGGTAAACCATCATCAAAGCAATCTTTTTTGATACCTGTATGAATACATATTTGCAAAATGGACACCATTTCTTGGATCTAGTTTTTTTTTTTACATGAAAGATATGTTAAAGCGTGTTTTGACAATTTAAGTTGAAATTTAAGTTTAAAAGGAAGAAACACAAAAATATCTACAAGTCATGATATGGCAAGAAAGTTAAACTTACCAACTGGATCTCTAGCAGTTACTGATATTGAGGGTTTACTGGGATCTCCCAATCCAACTTCATTTTGTGCTTTGACACGAAACTGATATTCATGGTTAGGGATCAAGTTGGTAACATTCATGCATGTCTGTGGGATAGGATCTTTTGTAACTGGAACCCACTTAATGGAATGTAGTTCCTTTCTTTCCAGAATATAACCTGTGACAGGCTTTCCACCATCTTTTCCTGGAGGACGCCATGAAACTGTCATTTCTTCCTTTCCAATTTTGGTGACTTCAGGTGGATCTGGTGGACCAGGTCTATTGAACTGTGTTCTGGCAATGACTGCTTGGCTCTCCACTGCAGGACCTGTTCCCATCTTATTCTCTGCTCGTATTCTGAAGATATACTCCTGTCCTTCCACAAGACGAGTCACATTAGCTGAATTACTTATCACAGCTGCAGAGTGAACTGACCAAACCATTCTCCTCGTCTCACATTTTTCCAGAATGTAGTTCTGAATCTCACAACCTCCATCATCCTCTGGAGGATCCCATATTAATTTACATCGGTCCACTGAAATATCAGATATCTTCAGGTCTCGGACAGGACCAGGTTTATCAAGCACATTCACAATAATGTGAGCAGAACAGCTTCCTGAACAGTTTGTGGCAGTGCCTACATATTTTCCACTGTCAGTACGCCTAGATGATGTCATCAGTAACTTTGAGAAATCTGAACCAGTTTCAGTATGACATCTTGGGCTTTTGTTAATATCACCAGTATCACTTTCCTTGAGCCATTTAACCACAGGTTGGGGCTTTCCTTTAAGACTTGCTTCAATTTTAATAGGATTTCCAGCTTTAACGGTGAGGACACCATCTAATTTAATGCCAAGTTCTGGTTCAAGTAGTTCTTCTTTAGCAGGTGTTTCAGCAGTTGTTACCCAATTACTCACTCCTCCTTCATTCTTAGTTTGTACTCTGAATTGATATATTTGGTTTTCAATGCACCTATCTACCATAAAGAATGTTTCCTTGATTGCACCTTTGTGTAGTCTTTCCCATTCTTCAGCTCCTTTTAGCTTCCTTTCAACATGGTAAACAAGATTGTGGCTTCCACCAGTGTACTCTGGTTTTTTCCATTTAAGGAAAACAAATGTCTTGCCAATTTCAGCAGGATGAAAGTTTTCAGGCTCACCAGGCTTTTCAATTGGATCAACAGCCAGAATTGCCATTTTAGTTTCAATTGGTGGCCCTTGACCACATTTATTTTCTGCACTGACACGGAAAAAATACTCACAGTTTTCCATGAGCAGTGCTTTAACAAGACGTTTTGTGCAATCCGAGGACACTACTGTCCAACCCCTTTGATTTGGTTGTCGACACTCAATAATGTAATTTGTAATTTCTGTGCCTCCATTATCTTCTGGATTCTCCCATGATACCATACACGAATCCTTAGTTACGTAACTTATCTTCAGATTTTGACATTGCCCAGGTTTATCAAGAACATTAACTACAATACTAGCTTGTGCTTGACCACTAATGTTTTTTGCTTGAATGACATATTTCCCATAATCTTCTCTAGTTGCTTCTTTTATGATCATATCAACAAGTGGGTAATTGTTGTTCATCTCAGTCCGCTTGTCTTGGACTAAGACTTTTGCATCCTTAGTCCAGGTAATTTCTGGATCAGGTCTTCCTTTAACACGAGCAACTAAGTTAATGTTCTGCCCTGCTCTGACTGTCAGTAGATCACGACAAGCAACGTCAACAATTACCTCTGGAGGAATAAGGATGTCTTTTGCAATAACTGTTTCACTAAGTTCTTTAGGTTCTCCTTCTCCAATCTTATTACAGGCTCTTACACGAATCTTGTATTCCATGCCTTCAATCAATCCTGGCACTCTATATGCACACGGTTTAATAAGTTCGTCCTTATTAATTCTATCCCACTGTTTACTGCTTGATTTCTGGCATTCAACAATATAACCTAATATAGGACTGCCCCCATCTCTTGAAGGCTTAGTCCAGACTAAATCCGCATAAGATTTGCTCCAGTCCTTAAGTTTGACATTCACTGGGGGACCGGGGCAAGTGATGGGACGTGTAGTTTTAACTGGATCTGACACTGGGGAAGGTTCACTTATGCCAGCAATGTTTTCCGCAAATACTCTAAACTCATAGGTATTGCCCTCAAAAAGTCCAGATGCTCTGTATCTGGTATCTAAGACAGGAGTTTTGTTCAGACGAATCCATTTACCTGTCATTTCTCTACGTTCGATAATGTAACCAATGATTGGACTGCCACCATCGGATAAAGGGGCTTCCCACTGAATAGTCACAGCAGTTTCTGTGATATCTTGAGCAACTGGTTGGCCTGGTGCACTAGGTGGGTCAAACATACGCTTGGCAATAGTAGGTGAACTTTCAAGGGCAGCACCTATACCAACTTTGTTCTCTGCACGAATACGTATTACATATTCGCGGCCTTTCTCCAGATAGGAAACCTTAGCTTTTGTATTAATGCTTCCAGAGCTTACTACTGCCCATGGCTCCCATGGCTTCTTGGTATCCTTCTTCTCAACAATATAATTCATCAAAGGAGTTCCACCATCATCCTTGGGAGGACGCCAGTTGATGACCATGAAATCAGGAGTAACCTCAAGCATGTTAACTGGGCCAGTAGGTGCACCTGGGACATCAATAACTGTAACATGCAAAGCAACTGTCTTGCTTCCAGCTGGGTTGGAAACTGTGAGAAGATACTCTCCAGTGTCTTGTCGTTTACAGTCCTTAATGGTGACAGTAGTTGAATAGTGATCAGTTTTAATCAGCACATTGCCTTCACTTTTGATTTCCTTGCCATCCGTAACCCATTTAGGATTTGGAACAGGAATGCCTTTCATAATTGCAGGAAGCTTGATTGTGCTTCCAGCTTTCACAACAATTCCTTCAATTAGCTTCACATCAACTTCTATTGTTGGTGCCACTAAATGAAAAAAAATGAAAACATTAAGGGAAATAGTTTCTCAAACCTGAAATACTGTATTTTCCAGAGTGATAACAAAAACGTGACTTACCAAGTTTTTCCTGGCACAGAATAGGTACTGTTGTATCAGGACGACTCAGACCGATAGCATTCTCTGCTTTCACACGGAATCGATAGGTCTTTCCCTCTTCAAGTCCCGTCACATGACATTCAGTCTTTTTGACAGTTTTAAAAGTAATCCAGTCTTTTTCCTCTTCTTCTTGGTATTCTACTAGGTATCCAGTAATATCACTACCTCCTGTGCGATCTGGCAAATTCCACTGAAGCCAGACTTCAGTTTTATCTGCATCCACATGATGCAAATTCTTGGGTGGACCAGGTGGGTCTTAAATATGGAAAGGAAAATATTGGTCTTTATGGAAATTGATAAAAAATTATATTTTATATTTAAAAACCTATTAAAAATTACACGAATACTCACAGAGGGGATCAATAGCCTTTATGGGTTTGGTAGTTGAAATGTATTCACTTCTGCCAAACTGATTTTCAGCAGCAACACGGAACATATATTGGTTTCCTTCCATTAAGTACAAAGCCTTTAAGCTAGGCTTCTTGCATGAAGAAGAAACAGGTACCCAATTATCTGAAGCCACATCTCTTTTTTCTATCACATAGTTAGAAATAACAGCACCTCCATCATCCTCTGGCTCATTCCAGGAAAGGTAGGCTGATTCTCTTGTAATCTCAGAAACGGACAGATTCCGAGGTGGACTAGGCTTGTCTGTGTTTCAAAAAGGACAATTCAATCTAATTAGAAGTTCATTCATACATACTGTAAGTTTATTATGAATGTCAAGGAAATTTGGCAACACTTTCTATGAATGTCATATCTATAAGAATCCATGAACACATTCATAACACATTCATGGCTATAAATATTTATGAAAAGTCATAAAACATCATAGACATGTTCATTACACATTATGAATGCTTTATGAAGCACTCATCTATAATCCACTATTGATACCTTCATAATGCAGTACAGAACACCTTTAATTCTTATACCGACCATTATAATGCAATATGAAGATATATTCTCAGTGACGCCCGATCCCCCAATCTTTCCCCAGTCCAACATGTGTAGGATCAGGTCAGACTTCAACTCAGACCCAGTGCCAATCTTCAGGATCTCGAGGGTCAGTTACAACAGCTGTGGGCCAACTTGCCACAGAAGAGGATACAATGGCAGTACGACTCCCTTCGGCATCGTATTGCTGGATGTATCCAGGCTTGGGGGGGTGCCACACCCTACTGACCTGGGACCAGCAGTGTGCCCATACTGCCAACTCTGTTTTCCATTCAATCTAATATTATAATCATTGCGATACAGTCACATGACCTTTCATCATGTGCAGATTCATTTCATTTCCACCACTCTGTCTGGGTGCTTAACATCTTTGTCAGTGAATGTATATAGTGCATTATAGATGAGAGCTTCATTGCAGTTTAAGTATTGTAATCAATACTATGCCTTAAGCCGGTCAATAGAAGATACTGTGATGCTTTACGAATATTATTATACAAACCAATATACAGCCGTGGAAAAAGTAAGAGACCATAGGATGATTTTTTTCTCTCATTTCTCAATTTATGGGTGTGCATCTGTGAATAATGTTTTTTGGTTTTTGCAAACTGCAGCCTGGTTCTTCTCTGTTTCTCGTAAATTAAGGGCTTCCTCCTTGCTTTATGGGTCTTCAGTCCTGCTTTTAAGAGCCTGATACGCAGGTCTCTTAATTTTTTCTACGGCTGTATAATGCATTATAGAGGACAGCTTCAAGTAAAGTGTTACTGGAAATTCTTACCTAAAACAAGAACTGTGCATGTAGCTGCTTTAGAACCTGCAGAATTTTCCACAGAAATTGTGTAATCACCACAATCAGAGCGAAGACAGTTATGGATTTGTAGTTTACTTCCTACACCAGTAACCTCCACATTAGCTCTAGGTGGAACCTCTTCATTATTCTTCTTCCATGTGACTTTGGGGAATGGCACACCCTTAATTCCTGCACTGAGAATGATATCAGTCCCTACCATGGCAAGATGCTCACGAGCCATGTTCGCATCAAGTAGAAGCTCTGGGGGCTCTGTTGAAAAGAAAATTTATAAATGATTATATTAAAGTTGAAAAAAGTATGCTAAAATATGTGAAGAAAATATTTATTTTATAAATTTATAAATATTCTTCCTATTTATTTAATGTAAAATCCCAATTACCAAGTCTGTCGTGTACTTTCACAGGATCCTTAACATATGCAGGATCAGATTTACCGGCAGCGTTTACTGCCATAATCTTGAACCTGTACATTTCTCCATCTTCAAGGTTCTGTACTGTAAACTTGGTTTCTGGGCATGATTCAGCAGTCTCATTTGCTTTTTTCCATTCTTCCACACCAATCTTCTGATATTCTACTAGATAGCCAAGAATTTTTCCTTTTCCGTCATGACGAGGTGGCTGCCAGGTTAAACTTACAGTTTCTTTAGTCTTGTCCACAGCTTCTGGGAGCACAGGTGGGCTTGGTGGTACTGGGAATAATTAAAAAAATATATGTGTGTTTGTGTGTATGTATACAAATACTGTACCTCCAAATAAATGTAAAGATTGGAAGATTATATGAAAGGGCACAATTGAGACTTACCAATTGGATCTTTAGCTACAACAGGATTTGATGGTGGACTAGGATCTCCAACACCTATTTCATTTTCTGCCATGACACGGAATTCATATTCACAGCCTTCAGTAAGATCTTGAACTCTGAACTGTGTGTCTGGGTATATGGGTTCTCTTGTAGCACGTGACCATCTCTTTGATGTTGTCTCCTTTTTCTCTAAGATGTAGTTAGTGATTGGTTTTCCACCATCACGAGGTCTACTCCAGTTAACAAGAGCTGTGTCTTTGTACACCTCTTTAACAACAGGTTGCTCGGGTGCCTCAGGCACTCCTGTGAAAATAAGTTTATAAGCCACCATAAAATAATATGTTTTAAGGACACCTGCGCATATATGTTTGCAAAATACCCGTGCCTTTCGAATTCATTAAATGATTCTTACTGAAGAGATCTTTGGCTCGCATCTCTTCAGATTCCAGTGGATCGCTTATTCCATACATATTCTCAGCACAGATTCTCATGATATACTCCCTTCCTTCAGTTAACTTGGGTACTTTGCATGTTGTCTTTGTGGAGGCAGATGTCACAGTTGCCCAAAGATCCCTCTTTGTGTCTCTCTTCTCAATAATATAGTTAGAAATCTCAGAACCACCGTCATCAAGAGGGGGCTTCCAGGAAATAACCATGAAATCTCTGTGAACTTCTTTGAACAATACTGGTCCCTGTGGTGGCAGTGGACGATCTGTAATCATTAAGAGTTAAATAAATAATAGAGAGAAACTGTAACATTATATATTGAATAGAGACATGATTACAAAGGAGACTAGAAAACATAATATGACCAGGAAAGGGAAATACGCACCAACAACAGTTACATTGCAAATGCCCTTCCGTGAACCTGTACAATTCTCTACAAGAACACAATATCTGCCACTATGTTCACGCTTAGCCTTTATTATGCCTAAGCACATTGTGGTTAGAGTGTTCTTCAGTTTGATATGGTTATCGGCCTGTAATTCTTTATCATCCTTGAACCATATAATAGACGGTGCTGGCTTTCCAGTGTAGCGACCTTGTAGTGCAAAAGATTCGCCAACACGTATAATGACCTTGTCACGGAAATCAAGCTCAATTGTCGGTGGTTCTGAAAATAAAAGTAAACAGATTACACAAAACCAAAAACCAATTTTAAGGTTAGCTCATATGTGGTACCTCATAAGAATTTCACATTTCCCTTACCTAGCTCATCCTTGCAAGTAATTGGTTTGGTGTTAAAGGAAGGTTTTCCTTGACCAATTTCATTTACTGCACTAATGCGGAATTCATAGGTGTCACCCGCCTTAAGACCATCAAAGGTGAATTTCCTCCCAAGCAGCTTCTCTTTTGTGAGTCGGACAAACTTTTCTTTGCCAATTGGTCGGGCTTCTACTACATACATGGTAATTTCAGACCCCCCATCATTCTTAGGTGGTTTCCAAGTCAAAGTAATAGAGTCCTTTGTGACTGCTGTGACTTCCAGATCTTCAGGCCGGTCCGGTACACCTAGTTTATAAGAGTAGTTACAATCAGATCAAAAGTCTAACGTATAAAATAGACCAGCAGCGTAACCATACACTAGCCTCATTTACACAAAAGAAAAATTAAGTTACATGTAAGTATGAATTAGTGCATGATAAAACATTGTATAGAAAAGTACTCACTAAAACGATCCTTGATGGTTATTTCTGAAGTGGTTTCAGTAAATGGACCTATTCCAATCATGTTTTCAGCCGCAATTCTGAAGAAATAAGCCTTTCCATCAACAAGACCACGAACAACAGCAGCATGTCTAGTGATAGTGCAAGACACTGGGGTCCAGGCCTTACGTTCAGCTTCACGTTTTTGAATTATGAAATTAGTAACAGCTGAACCACCATCATCTTCAGGATAGAACCAGTTTAACTTGCATGAGTCACTAGTGAGATTCTCTGCAGTGATTGGCACGCCAACTGGACCAGGAATATCTAAGGCATAGATACAAAGGAAGGTTTAGGACACCTAATTTTTCAAATGGATTGATATAGCACTTAACCAATGGGTAGCATTGTGACTAATTTTGTTGCCCAATACCTCCAGAGCTGGCGATTTCAATTCTACCCCCTTTGTGTGTGTGTGTGCGTGTGTGTGTGTGTGTGTGTGTGTGTGTGGCCCCATGGATTTCTTCCCCTAGTCCAAAGATGTGCAGGGTAATCTATAAATAGCCCAAAATGTTTCCTCGTCTACACCCTATGCTGAACTGGCATCCTGTTCTGTGCCCTGTGCTGTATGGGAGAATATCCAGCCCCCTGAATTTGTACTGAATAATAATTAACAGAATACGTACCCAACACATCCACCACAATGCTCTTCTTTTTTTCACCTCCGTCATTCTTAGCAGTGAGTGTATAAATGCCTTTGTGTTTCCGTGTGCATTTCTTGATTACTAAAGACGAACTGATTGCAGTCGTCTCAATCGCAGCTTCCTCTGGTAATGCACCGTCATCTCTATTCCATGTAATCTGTGGTGCTGGCTTTCCAGAAACAAAGGCCAGGATACGAATCACACCACCAGCATGAACAACCAGCCTCTCTTTCATTGTGGCATCCAGGTTCACCTCAGGAGCAACTGAGAAATCAAGAGATAATATTTTTAAAAGTCCCCCCAGATGTAGACATACAGTAATCATTAACACATCATTCAACAACTTACTTATTCTGTCTTTCAGTTCAATCACCTCTGGCACTTCACCCGGTTGACTAACACCTGCAGTATTTATGGCTCTTACTCTAAATCTGTAATGTCCCAGTTCTTTTAGTCCATCAACCACAAGTCGGGTTCCTCTTACTTCCTTATCTTTAGCCTAGAAGGTATGATAGATAGATAGATAGATAGATAGATAGATAGATAGATAGATAGATAGATAGTATATGTATATACTCACATATATGTACTTAATATACAAAGTTAACAAGAGAATAATCATTTTAAACATACTTTGCCCCATTCTTCTTGACCTTCCTCTTTGTACTCAACAATGTAGCCAATAATCTTTGAGCCACCATCTTTTAATGGTGGAACCCATTCCAGATCAACGGTTGATTTTGTCCAGTCAGTAACTTTAGGTATAGGAGGATCTGGCGGAGCTGAAAAAACACATGCAAAAAGTTGTATATTTTATTCATAATGCCAGAATTTCATTACATTAGTTGCAGAAAAATTATTTACCATAAACAGCATATACCATTTACCTGCTGGGTCTGTGGCAGTAATAGGATCTGATGGCAAGCTTGGAGGGCCACATCCTACTGCATTAATGGCAGTGACACGGAACTGGTACTGAGACCCTTCAATGAGACCACTTACATTATGTGATACACCAAAAGGCATAACTTTGATCGGGTCACGGGTTACTCTGTTCCACCGTTTGGATGTCGTCTCTTTTCGTTCTAGCCAATAACCAATCACTGGTGTTCCACCATCATATTCCGGCTCTTCCCAGTTAACTGTCATGGAGTTATGGGTTACACTTGAAATGGTTGGTTTTTCACATTGACCAGGAACAGCTTTAGAGAGAAAACACATATAAACCACATTACTCAGAAAAAAAAGTCAAAATGACATACACACAATTTACTTTAATATACTCACTGCAAAGATTTCTGGCTTTCTCTGGTTCACTGTCAAGAGGATCACCAATACCATATTTGTTTTGAGCCATGATACGGAACACGTATTCATGGCCTGCGATCAAATTCTCCACTGTGTAAACCCGCTCTTTGGGTTCATTGGTTACATGTATCCATGTCTTCCTGTTAGCCACACGTTTCTCTATGACATAATTAGTAATCTTTGACCCTCCATCATCTTTAGGAGGAAGCCAAGACAGTGTAATCTTCCCTGAGGAGACTTCTTCAAACTTGATGGGTGGACAAGGTGGTCCTGGGCATCCTGAATGAGTAAATCAAGCAATTCAAACATTATCCAAAGTCTTACTATTCAAGTTTTACATATGAACACAAGGAATAAAACAAAACAAACAAAAACAAATTACCTAATACATTGAGCCTTATTTCCTTTGAGGCTTTACCCAGACTGTTGCTAGCTGTGATTGTGTAAATACCAGTGTCTGCTCTTTTTCCTTGCTTAATCAGAAGTGCGCAGGTGTTATCAGTCACAAGCTTATTGATGTGCTCATCATACTCTACATCAGTCTTCTCATCCTTTCTGTAGGGTGGAGCCTTTTGCCATGTTAGGGTAGGGAATGGGCAACCCTTGATTTTTGCAACAATTTTGATGTCAGTTCCTTGTTCAACTTCCATGAATGTGTCAAGTTCAATACTAGGTGCACCTTAAAGAAAACATTTAATATAAAATTACACAATGGTTAAGTTAAAATGCTTTCTTGTTTAATATATTAGAAATATTCCTCTCATTGACATACATTTCTGGTCTTTAACAGTGACTGGCCCAGCAGTTGAGGAAGGCCTGCTTGCTCCAGCCTCATTCACAGCTTTGACACGAAATTCATATTCTCCGCCTTCATTAAGATCCTCAATCTTAAAAGTGGTCTCTTCAACATCACGTCGATTGCATTGCCTCCAGGACTCCTTTTGTGTTATACTGGTGTCCCAGCAAAGACGCTCAACAATGTAATGTGTCACAGGAGCTCCACCATCATTGATGGGTGGCTTCCATGTAAGGGTCACCGTGTCCTTGGTAACTTGATTAATTTTGACCTTTATGGGAGGATCTGGAGGGTCTGAAGAAGAATGACAAAGTGATATTAAAATTCATTTCAGCTTAAAATGTTGCTAGTTACAATTATTTAGTTGTACTTCAGCTGCGTTTATTAACTTACGTATGGGATCCCTCGCCTTTGTCCGCTGAATAGTTTCAGTGTGTGGTCCCAAGCCAAGGCTATTTTGTGCCCTGACACGAAACAGGTACTCTTGTCCCTCAATAAGGTCACACACAACAAATGACTGGCTTCCACATGCAGGATTAACCTTCGTCCAAGCCTTTCCTTCAACAGTTTTCTTCTCAATATAGTAACTCTTGATTCTTTCGCCCCCCTCATTATCAGGAGGCTTCCATGTAAGTCTACAGCTGCCTCTTGTGATATCAGAAACTTTGAGATCCTTTGGAGGTCCTGGTAAATCTAAAAAAATATATGTGTATATACATATATATTTGCACAACTTATGCATATTATTATTATGATTATTATTCTTATTACTACAACAATAACTACTACTACTACTGGCACTGTTTTGTACTGCTTACCGAGTACATTGACTCTGACTTTCACAGCCTTCTGTCCAGCTTTATTTTCAGCTGATATGATATAAGTTCCAGAATGGCATAATGTACTGTCAGGAATTGTGACGGTTGATGTAGTGTCAATTGATCTAATCTAAAAAAAAAAATATGTAAATTGCATTAGAAATACTGATTAGTGTTTTTGAAAGTTAAATTCAAATTATGATGGCCCAATACCTGTGACTCTACTGGAAGAAAATGAAGACCCTCCTTCTTTTCAGATATTGCTTTGCCATCATACTGCCATGTAACATTTGGAGTAGGACATCCTGTGATAATTGCAGGGATTTTTATTGTGGAACCAGCCCGACAGGAGAGTAACTCCTTGGCATTGATATCCAAAGTGATTCTTGGTTCCTCTGTAAGTGAAATTTAAATATCAGTTCAATTACCTTACATATATATTTTCTTGAAAAATATGAACATATTATGAGAATTACCCAATATCTCTTTAACAAGAATGTGAGAAGTTCCTGGGCTTGGTTCAGACTCTCCTCCAGAATTGACTGCAATAATTCTAAATTTGTATTTTTTCATTTTTTGAAGATCAGGTACAGTAAATTTATTATCAGGATGTGGTTTGTCTGATTCATTGACTCTTCTCCATTGTAATGAATCTTCATCTTGAACTTCAATAATGTAGCCTTTGATGGGGCTTCCGCCGTCCTTATCTGGTGGATTCCAAGTAAGTGTGACACTATCATCGGTTTTATGTGCAACTTCTGGGCTTGATGGCATTCCAGGAGGATCTGGAAAATAAAAATAATAAGGTATTTTTAGAACACTCGCGTTAAAAAAAAATTAAATGTATAATCTTTTTCAAAATATGTACCCATCCATCCATCCATCCATCCATCTTGTACACACTCATTTCAGTTCATCCCAGGTAGCATACACATGGGGTACACCCTGGAAGGGTTGCCAGTTAAATAAAAACACATGATAGGGAATGAAACAGAAAAATTTACATACTCTTGGGGTCAGTTGCAAATGCACTCTCAGTCGGTTCACTAGGAGGTCCAACACCAGCAGCATTGCATGCCATCACACGGAACTGGTATTCAGTACCCTCATTCAGGTGGTGTACATTAAATTCTAGGCCTTTAATTGCTGGTTTTGTGATTGGGGCCCGATTCACACGATTCCAGTAAACAGCTCCTTTTTCTCTCTTCTCAAGCCAGTAACCCGTGATTGTGGATCCGCCATTATCCTTAGGTGGTTCCCATGTTACCAACATGGAAGTCCTAGTGCACCCAGCGATCTTTGGGTTTTGTGGTGGACCAGGGAGGCCATACAGATCCTTGACAATGACTTTCTCTGATTCACATCCATCACTAACTCCATATTTATTCTCAGCTTTGATCCTGAACTGGTAAGTCCTATCGGTTTCAAGTTTTGATACCTTGAAAAGGAAGATGTTTATTATATTTCTAATTCAAAATAATTCTGCACAATTCTGAAAAAAAAAATATTAATATTATGCTTACCCTATAACGCCTTTCAATGACACTGTCAGTTATCTCCTCCCAATCTGATTTTTTCTTGCTGGCATCCCTTTTCTCAATAATATAATTTGTGAGTTCACTACCTCCATTATCTTCTGGAGCATCCCAAGTAAGATAACATCCTTGATTTGTGATATCAGAGACTACAATGTTCTGTGGTGGCATTGGACGGTCTAAAATGTACACATGGGATATTTTTTAAAAATATAATAATAATCTCTTTCATAAGTTCAATATATAAACAGACGAATTAAAGATGTAACACTTACCAAATATCTCTACCTTGATGTTCTCATATGCAGATCCAAGGTGATTTGAAGCAGTCAGTGTGTAAAGGCCACTATCTTTCCGATCAGTTTCAGGAATGCTTAGCGTTGTGTGTGCTTTTGAATAACTCAGCACCTCAGTATTAATCAAAAATTTTTCTGTTTGTTCCTCAATAATATTTCCATCCCTTGACCATTCACTCTTGGGCATTGGGATTCCTATCACTTCTGCAGGAATTTCAATGGCTTCTCCTTTCTTAGCAGTGATTGTACCACTCTTGAAGTACTTCAACAATGTCACAGTTGGCTTAACTGCAATAAAAAGAAGTGTGAGTTATTTTCAGATAGGAAATAATGTGTATATCCAATTGACATCAATTTGTACACTGTAATAAAAAATACCTTCATCATCTTGAATAACAGCACTTAATGTAAGTGAAGGCTCTCCATCTCCAATATCATTTACTGCTTTGACACGGAAGTCATACATATGACGTTCGGAGAGGTTCTCCAGTGTTAAAAATAGATCCTTACATATCTGACGATTGGCAATCTCAAACTCAGTTCCATCTTTTCTCTTCTTTTCTACATAATATCCTCGAATTGGACTGCCACCATCACTTTGAGGTGGTTTCCAAGACAGAGTTATTGATGATTTGGTTCTTTCCGTAAAACGAAATCTCTCTGGTGCAGTTGGGGTACCTTGAATTTTTTATGAACACATTTTATGCATTTTCACAATTAAATTGTTTCTTCAATTTATCATTATACAGTATGTCAAATCGCACTTACCTTTTGGATCTATTGCAAGAATAGGGCCCAGATCAACTGGTTCACCACAACCAAACTTGTTTTTCGCTACAACACGGAACATATATTCCCCTCCATCAAACGGCCCTCTAATTTCACATTTACACATAGGTGTCTCAATTGGCTGTCTCCATGTGTGCATCTTTGCATCTCTCCTTTCAACAGTGTAGCTCGTGATATCACTTCCACCATTATCTGCAGGTTCTGACCAGCTTAGTGCTATCACCTTTTTTGTGACTACATTGGTCTTCAAGTCAATGACAGGACCAGGAACATCTATGAGATATAAAAGAAACAAATATTTTACAGGAGCAATACAACATGCAAAATTACAATGAAAAAAAATTACATAATTGATGGAAATTAATTCTTTTTTTCTACTTACCCAAGACTTCAACTCTAGTAAATGCAGATTTGGTTCCACTGCTGTTTGAGCCAGTAATCTGGTATATGCCATGGTCAGACCTCAAAGCATTCTTTATACTTAAAGTGCTGTTTTTTCCAATAGTTTCGATCATAACATGTTCTTTGACAGGATCACTTTCATCCTTTGTCCACTTCACTTCTGGCTGAGGTCTACCATTTACATAGGCAGGTAACTTCAGTGTCTCCCCAGCTCGAATAGTAACACCATTTTTCACAGATATGTCAAGTTCCACGAATGGAGTCTCTGTCACAGCGAGAACAAAAGGACATTAACCACCTGCAATTTTGATTTCCTTAATTGCAATTTTTGTACTCTAAAAAGTTTGATTACCTTGTGGTTCTTTCACCATAACAGGTTGAGTCATGCCAGGTGCTCCTTCACCTGCCTGATTCACAGCAAACACGCGGATAATATAATCAGCTCCCTCTGTCAGTCCAGAAATGGTAAGCTTGCAGTCTTTGCATAGTCTCTCAGTGCAGCGGGACCAATTTTTTTCTCCTGCAAGAACTTTCTCAACATGATACCCAAGAATGTCTCCACCACCATTGTACAAAGGGGGCTTCCAAGTCAGTTCAATGGAAGATGAGGTAGTATCAACAATCCTTGGAACAGGTGGGCCAGGCGGCACTAAGAAAATTGAGAATATTTTTTAGTTTTTATGAGTAGATGATTCAGTGTTTTGATTCTCATGCTATATTTAAATCTTAATAAAACTTACGAATAGGATCTTGTGCGACTTTTGGTTCAGATGGCACGCTGAAATTTCCAGGTCCAGCTAAGTTTTCAGCACAAACTCTAAAGATGTAGGTCATGCCATCCAGTAGACCAGTAACCCTGACTTTCAATGAATTAAGCAGGTTGTTATTTACTCTGGTCCAATATTTGCTATTGATTTCTCGCTTCTCAATCCAGTACCCCAAAACAGGACTGCCGTTGTCTTTTGGCTCATTCCAGCTTACAAGCATGCTGTTTTCAGTAACTTCTCCCACTCGTGGCATATTGGGTGCATCAGGGGGATCTGAAAATCATAGGTCATTTTTAATGATAAAAAAATAAAACTATCTAGTACAAATGTTATTAAACACATCTGAAATATCTTACCAAATTGATTCTTAGCTATAACTGGTGATGAGTAACATGCAGGTCCAGGACCAAACTTGTTTTCTGCTGAAATCCGGAAGAGGTACTCCTTGCCTTCAATCAATTTTGTTACAGGATATTTACATCCTTTGCAAGTTGAAGTCACAGTAATCCATCCACCGTCGTCTTTGGTGTTGTCTTTCTTCTCCAAAATGTAGTTCAGAACTTCACTACCACCGTCATCTTTAGGTGGGTCCCATTTACAAATGAGAGAAGTGTTCCTGATTTCTTCAAAAGTAAAGTTAACTGGAGGTCCTGGTACATCTAAAAGTCACGAGCATAAATTATAGGGATAAAACATAGCAACCAAATGTGCAGACAAAATTAAGGAAAATATAATAATTTAAAGTAAATAAAAATGTATTAAATCACTCTTACCAAGGACAATAATGTCACATGATGCTGTTGCACTACCATGAACATTCTCGACGTTAGCCATGTACACTCCATGGTCACTTCTAACACAATCACGGATCATCACAATGGCCACACCCTTTTTGCTGGGATCAAAAGAAACCCGTTCATTAAGGGGTGGGTGGTATGGCTCCTCGGGCTCAGAATAAGCAGCCTTACTCTTCTTTTTCATAGTTGGTTTCACTGGTTTCTTTATTGTCTCCAGCTTAATGACTTCATCATTTCTGAACCAAGTCACAGTTGGGTATGGAGATCCAGAGATATAGGCATCTATAGTAATCTCTTCACCTTTTTTGAAGCTGAGGCTTCCAATGAGAGAAACCTTGGGGAGTTCTAAAGGGGAAAAAAATGTCATCTATGATTTGGCCCTTGTCAAAGTCACTCAGATTTTTATGCCTCCCCTTTTCTTCTGTATTCATATTGAAGTACCAAGTATTAGCTTACTGTCTAATATATCCCAGACCTTGACACACACTGTTTTTATGAGTAAGTATCATTCACATTCGCATATTACATGGGGGTGGTTATAATGTTTTGGTTCTTCAATGCATGCGTGTGTGCGTGTGTGTGCGTGTGAGCGGGTTTACCTATCCTTATGGGGACACAATGTCCCCATAACGTGATAAATATCCATTTTTAATAAAAATAACTCTATAAAAATCGGTGACTGCTATGAAAAAACTAAAAATGCAAAAACTCTTGTATTTTGTTAGGTTACTTATGGTTATGGTTAGGGCAGGGTAGGGGTTAAGGTTGTCATAGTTAGCGTTAGCAATTTTCCCATTGAAATGAATGAGCGGTCCCCATAAGGATATGTTTACCCTACATGTGCGTGTGTGTGTGTGTATTATGTTTAAACCGTTATTCTGAAATTGTGAGGACCCTGTTTCATGCAATCAAAAAATGAAAAATGCCACACACACACACACAGAGTTAAAATCCAAAGAATTATTATGATTTCTGGTTTTGCATACCAACAGGGTCTGCAGCTTTCACTAGCGGTGTGGTAGAAGAAGGATCACTAATTCCAAAAGCATTCTCAGCACGAACACGAAACTGGTATTCTTCTCCCTCTTTCAAGCCTTCAAAAGTGTATGAAAACCCAGGCACCAGGATTTCATTGCATCTTTCAAATCGAGTACCATCTTTTGTGATTTTCTCCAGAATATAACCTTTAATGGGGCTACCACCATCAGATATTGGTGGTTTCCAAGTGAGGGTTACAGAATGGGCAGTAACATTATGGGCCTCAACTTTGGTAGGTGGATCTGGACGATCTAAAAATGCAGAAGATAAAAGTTATTTTGCACTTAAACTATTTTTTGTAAATATTTTTTTTTAATCTATAAAAAACAGTAAAAGAAAACTGTAGCATGTGGTATGCACTAGTCATTTTTAATGCTTACCCTTCTGATCCTCAATAATTACAGGATTGCGGCTCTCAATATACTCCCCACTGCCAACCTTGTTCACAGCCCGGACACGGAAGTAGTATTCTGCATTAACAAGCAAGTCTTTAACAATGCAGCTCAGAGTTTCTCCTGACATGACAGGCCTGTATGTTTTCTTGGAAGCTTCCCTCCGTTCAAGAACATAGTGAAGAATAGGACTGTCACCATCATCCTCTGGAGGCTCCCATGTGATTTTGCAGGAATTATTAGTAACTTCACTAGCAACAATATCTTTACAAGGGCCAGGAATACCTATAAATTACAAAGAAGCCATTAATAAAAATTGTAATAGCACAACCTAATGACGTTTTATTTTTAAAGCAGTAGCCCTGCTTGCTATGAAAAAATCAATGCAAAACATATGGAATCATACTGTTAATCATACCAATGACTTTAACGTTTAATGTTCCACTTATCGTTCCAAGCCTGTTTTCCAGAGTGATAGCGTACACTCCAGCATCAGCACGGACACATTTGGAAATATCCAAGCGAGCAGCAGACCGTTCACAGTGTAGGGAAACTCGGCCATCAGCTTTGAGGTCTGTGCCATCTTTTTTCCAGGATACCGTGGGTAACGGTACAGCACTGTATGGAACTGGCAGCTGTAATTTATCCCCTTCTATTGCAATAATGTCTTCAGTGATTAAATCTAGGGTAGGAGCACCTTCAATAACAAGAACAAGTTTCTTTTGTAAATGAAGAATATTTAATATCTAACATATATCTATTTAATAAATTTTTGTACTAGTTTGGCTTTATTTACTCACTTGCTTACATACTTTCTTAATTAAGAGTATTTAACAGAAATATCTATGCTTAAAAATCCATAAAGATGCTTACAGTCAGGATCCTTGGCATAGATACTCTGAGAGACGTCAGAGGGGTCACTGATTCCAATAGCATTTATTGCACGGACTCTCATCACATACTGTTTCTCTGGTATTATTCCTTCAATGGCTGTGAATTTTAGCTCTTTCACTGGCCGTGAACTGACTCTCATCCACTTCTCAGTGCCTGCTTCACACAGCTCAATGTGGTAGCCAAGGATGGGGCTGCCACCATTTTTTTCTGGTGGCTTCCAGCTTATGGATATATGGTGTCTGCTAGCATCAGTAATATTCAAGTCCAGTGGGGGCGATGGTGAACCTGTGGAATATTATCATAGCATATTAAATATCATACGTCGACTTGTGCCCTTTAATACTACGCTATACAGAGAAGATTTAAAAAACAGCATACTTATTGGATCTTCAATTCTAAGTACATCTGTAGGTTCACTTGGTGGCCCAACACCAGCTTCATTCTCAGCCCGAACCTGGAACTGCACTTCGCTTCCTTCATCAACATCTGTCACCTGGTATGTGCAGTCTGGCCCTTGAGTCTTTCCAGCCTTTACCCAACGAGTTCCGAGTTTTTCTTTTTTCTCAATGACATATCTACCAGAATGAAAGGAACACAAAATCTGAAAATATTTCCTTAAAAAGAAAACAGGCTGGGTATCTGTGTAAAAAACATTCCTAACATACTTCGTAATGGGTCGACCGCCATCATTCTTTGGAGATTCCCACTTCAGGTCAACGTGTCTTTTAGTTACATCCAGCACAATTAATGCATAAGGTGGCCCTGGGGTAGCTACATGGAAAAGAAAAATGAATGCATGATGTATAGTGCCGATTAATAACTACATACTGAAACAATATACTGACAAAATCAATTCTAACAAAACAAACTCACTGAAAGTATCCTTGGCAAGAACAGAGTCTTCCAGTTCACAGTATTCACTCTGCCCAATCGCATTCTCAGCTGCTACACGGAACACATAAAGAGACCCTTCATTTAGTGGTGTAACGGTGTGCTTGGTCTCCTTCACAGTGGTATCTACCGTCTGCCAGGCCTTTCGTCTCACATCTCGCTTCTCAACAATATAATTTGTAATGGGAGATCCACCATCCTTCTCTGGAACCGTCCATTTCAACTCAGCATCTGTCTTAGTGATATTAACTACCTGAAGCCAGCGAGGAGGTGAAGGTGGATCTGTCGAACAAAGATGCATTCGTTAATATTTTTTATATTTTAGAAAATTTAAATCGTGCTTGTTGAAAAACTGGTAAGTAACTTACAAAGTCTCTCTTTGCAGGTCACAGTGTCACTGGGTTCACTTGGTTCACTCTCTCCTGCAGAGTTCACAGCTCTAACTCTAAATGAATACTCTTCCTTCTCCATCAGACCCTTCAAAAAGTGCTCAGTCATGGGGACATCTTCGGCCACACGCACCCAGTCTTCAGTTCCACTTTTAAGTAACTCAATTACATAGGAATCTATTTTGGCCCCACCGTCGTGCTCAGGTTTGGTCCACTGCAGTAGAGCTGAAGTCTTAGCCACATCCTTGATAACAGGTTTACCAGGAGCCCATGGAACATCTAGAATAATAAAGGACACAATCTGAAATTGGAATTGTTTTCCTTTTATTCTTTTATTTAAATTTAAGTTTGTAAACATTGCAGTGATCACACAGTCAAAACAATAGAACATTACTGGGCTGAAATGAAATAGATAAAGTAGAGAAAGGAAACAGCTAAAATGAGAGCACAAATTCTCTGAAATTTGTTGAAGCAATCAAAATGACTAAAACAAAATTACACTTACACAAATTTCATTACAAACAAGTTTTATTCACAGGAGTACCATTACTTTGTGTGTAATAGTCCACTTAATAGTCTAAACATTTCTAACTTAGTGTCACGCCCAGCTCGTCCGATCCTTGTGTGTGCCGACGCTCCCTTATTAACCACGTGTGCTGCCCCGATTCTGACCAGCTGTTTTCCGTCAGTTTGATATGTTCTGTGTATTTAAGTCCGCGTCTGAGTCCGTATCCCCAGATCCGTCATTAATGTTAGTTGGTTGCTGCCCTGTGTTTTCCCTGGTTTACCCGTAATAAACCCCATTTGCCCGTATTTACGGCTCCACTTGTCTGTTTGCTTGCTCGCATCAAATGCGACGTGACACTTACCAATTGGATTCTTGACCAAAATCTGGTCGGTCTCTTTGCTTGGTTTTCCGAGTCCTGCAAGATTTTCAGCTAAGACCCGAAAAATATATTTCTTCTTTGTGGGTAGTCCTTTAACCCTGAACAATGGTGCATAAACAATGGTTTTCACATCCATTGCACAGAAAATGTAATATGTAATATGCATTTTATTTATATATAGGCCTAAATATTTTAGATCCTGACCTGTAAGAGGTATCCTGAATTGGCATCTTGTTGCACTTTATCCACTTGTCATTTTCTGGATCATACCTTTCAATCCAATATCCAGTGATAGGACTGCCACCATCATCATCAGGTTCATACCATGTCAGGGTCAAAGAGTCTTTAGCAATATCAGAGGGGACCAATTTACTTGGGGCACCGGGTGGGTCTGCAAAACCAAGAGGTATTCAGTTACTAAACAGCAAGAAAACGGGGACAACATGCTTTCCAAAAAGCAAAAATGAATGTAAATACATACCAAAGGAGTATTTAGCAACAACGGGAACATGTTCTGCAGGGAGACCAATACCGTACTGGTTTTCAGCAAACACTCTGAAGATATACTCCTTCTGAGACGTAAGATTGCAGGCTTTGAATGTGGTCTGTTTCACTGTGGAAGATAGTCTGTGCCACGTCTCACTGTCTGCAGCCCTTCTCTCCACAATATAGTTGGTAACTCTTGAGCCACCATCATCTCGAGGAGGATTCCAGGCGAGGAAGCAGGATTCATTGGTGATGTCAGAGATTTCAAATGCAGCTGGAGGGCCTGGTTTATCTGTCCATTCAATTAAACAACAGTATGAGAATTATTAAATTTACATAGAAACAAAATAACATACCACTCGAAATCTCAGCAAACAATACTGTACCAAGTATGTTAACATCAACAGTTGCAGTAGCACGGCCACTGCTATTAACTGCCTCAATGATGTAGGTAGCTGTGTCGTCTCTTGTTGTTTTGGCAATAGACACCATAGAATGGCCAGGTTTAGTGTCAATTGCAACTCTATCATCTGGCTTCAGAACAACATCAGCCTTGGTCCAGGTGACTTTGGGTTCTGGTTTGCCAAGCACACCAGCAGGTAGCTCAATCTTAGTTCCAGCCTTGGCAGTCAAGCCAGCAAGCAGCTTTACATCTAGCATGATCTCAGGGGGCTCTGTGTAATGGAACAAAAACACAATTAGCTTCCTGTAAAAACAACAAAGATATAATTATGCATTTCATAATGAATATACCTTTTGGATCAACAGCCAAGATTTCATCTGTTGCCCTGCACGGTTGACTAGCACCGAGTCTGTTCAGAGCTCTGACACGGTAAGCATACCATTGTCCTTCAGTGAGGCCAGTAACTTGGAATCTGTGAAGAAATAATGATTAGCCTCTTCATTGCATCACACTACCTACTAAATCTGAAAGAAACATACAGTTACAGATTATTTCTACTTACTTTAGCTCAGGTATGGGATCACCACATGGTTCCCACTTGTCAGTGCCACGCTGGCACTTATCAACAATGTAGCCTTTAATTACAGAGCCACCATCATATTTAGGAGGCTCCCAGGATAAGAAGATTCCATTAGCAGACTTATCTCTCCATTTCAGGTCCTCAGGTGGGTCAGGAACAGCTGGAATTAAAGTTCAAAAATATCAAAAACTCTTAAGTTTTATAAATGTTTATTTTAGGTTATTTTTCAAACAATTATTTTAGTTTTTTCCAATTCTCAGCCACTTACTAGCTGGGGAGGAGACATTAACTGGTTCTTCGATGTATGCAGGCTCTCCTGGACCACACTTATTACAGGCAGTAACTCTGAACAGATACTCTTTGCCTTCAGTAACATCTGTGATAGAGTATTCCTGGTCCTGTATACCACTGATAACCTAAAATTATAATAGAAACACAAAAGGTTGATTAACAGGATAATAAAATTCCCTTGAGTATAGTATTATGTGAACACTGCATAAACAAGTTAGCACAGAGACATTTTAAACAGTACATCCATACCTTCACCCATGTTTTACGTGATGCTTCACGTTTTTCAACCTGGTAGCCAGTTAGTGGACTTCCCCCATCATGCTCTGGTGCCTCCCACATCAAATGTACATGACGCCTGGTCACTTCTGCAACTTTGAAGTCTCTGGGTGCACTTGGGGATGCTAAAAAAAGTCAAGAAAAACAAGAATGATAACTTCTTCTTAAGCCCTTAAAATATAAGAGTTTATTGTTCTAAGACTGCGAATTCACATACCAATGACATTCACGTCAATCTCTCCAGAGATAGTGGCTGCATCATTTTCAAGATGGATAGTGTAGATGCCCTTATCTGGGCGGACACTGGGAGTGATGATGAGTTCCGTAAATGTGCTTTTGGTGACCATGGACACTCTGTCTCCTGCAGCCAACTCCTTGTCTCCCACACTCCAGTGAGGAGTGGGCAAGGGGTATCCAGTAATTGGGATGCGGATAATGAGAGGATGAGGGACGATTACCTCTAAACCATCCTTAAAAGCACTTAGATCCATAGTAGGGGCAACTACCAGAAGAAAAGAAAATCCACATTAACCAATTAATGAAATTAAACAAACTGCTTTAATATGCAAAAATGTAGTTTCCATTTTTCCAAGCAAAACTGCTTTTTACGTACCATGTGGATCATCGGCCACGAGAGGTCCAATCTGGTCAGCTGGGTCAGAAACACCTGCTGCATTTTCAGCTGACACTCTGTAATGGTACTTGTGTCCTTGTTTCAGGCCAGTCAGCTAAACAAAAAAAAAGAAATGAAAGAAAATAAAGAATTATATTTATGACATTATGAATGCCATATTTACTTGTAGACAGGTATTAATCAGAATAATTTTTCAGTTCTTCACGCTGCTAAACGATAAATACATAATATACAGTAAATACCTTATAACTAAGGTCCTGGCAAAGCCTGGCATTGCATCTGAACCACTTGTCTGTTCCATCCTCACACTTTTCAATAATATAGCCAGTGATTGTGCTGCCTCCATTACTTAGAGGTGTCTCCCATGTCAGTTGAATGGAGTCCCTTGTCTGGTCAGTGTAACTGAAGTTCAGTGGGGGACTTGGTCTCTCTGAATGTAATTACAGAAGGTAAAATTACTATAAATACTGATCTCCAATCACAGAAGTTATACTACACCTGTCAGCTTTACTAACCAATGGGATCCATGATCTTCACTGGGTCAGTAGCAAAGCTTGGCTTTCCAATTCCAGCTTTGTTTTCAGCTCTTACTCGGAAGATATATTCCTTATTCTCTACAACATCATTGATGACAGCTGTGCAGTCTTCTGGCTTGGTCACCAAAGCTGCTTCCCATCTAACAGATGTTCTATCGCGAAGTTCAATAATGTATGCTGTAATTTCTGATCCTCCATCATACAGAGGAGGCTCCCAGGAGAGAGTGGCACCAAACTTATTCACGTTTCTAACATTGACATTCTGTGGTGCCTCAGGAACATCTGAATTACAAAAATAGAAATCAAATAGAAAATATAATTTGTTTCACTTTATCATAACTCATTAATATAGAATGAAAGAAAAAATGTGTGTGTGTGTGTGTATGTGTGTGTGCGGTCCAGGTATACCTATTTCATAAAAATACGTGACTGCAATGAGTTTTTGAATGCAAAAACTCTTGTATTTTGTTTGGTTACCTGCGGTTATGGTTAGGGCTGGGTAGGTGTTAAAGTTGTCATAGTTAGCGTTAGCATTTTTCCCATAGAAATAAATGAGCGGTCCCCATAAGAATATGTATACCCTACATGTGCGTGTGTGTGTGTGTGTGTGTGTGTGTGTGTGTGTGCGCGCGTGCGCGCGCGCGTGCGTGTGTGTACAATGCTTACCAAACTTGTTCTTAGCTTGCACAGGATTCTCAGTTTCCACATTTGGTCCATTTCCTACTCTGTTACGTGCACAGACACGGAAAAGGTACATGGAGTCCTTGTTCAGTCCCGTCACACAGAACTCTTGGTCCTCTGCACGGTTAGTGACCATAGTCCAGCTTTTGCGCGTAATATCGCGTCTCTCGACTACGTAGGCAATGATCTTGCTTCCACCATCAGATTCTGGCTCATCCCAGGCAAGACTAACCTCACCATCAGCGGTGTCCACAACATCAAGATTTTGTACAGGTCCAGGAACATCTAGAAACAGGTTATTCAGGTTATGTGTAACATTCCTGCTGCAAAAAGGCTTTATTAAATTGTTCTGAATATTTTTATGAAGGTTTGACTCACAGTTACAGTTAATTGAATGACAGAACATTATAGTCATTTTTATGACATTTTATCTATTATCAAATTTTTCTATATAGTAGCTAGGAAAAACAATTTTTGAAAACAATTTTTACAAATAATATCATTACATATTAACTAATTAAACTGGTCATGCACTTTTTGTGAAGTATAGGGACAATAGTGGTGAATCTTACCAATGACCTCCAGATTAATGAAAGCCTCTGCCTTTCCATGTTTGTTCCGAATAATAATTTTGTATCTGCCCTGGTCAGACTTCTCTGGTTCATTTAACTTGTATTCTGTTCTGTCAGTAAACGTGTCAATATTCTCTTCAGGTAGATAAATCTCATTGTAAAACCATTCTGCTTCAGCACGAGGATAAGCATCATAGGGGACTATCATGGTAAAAGGCTTTCCAGCATCAATCACAAGGTTCTGATCTGTGGTCTTCACCTTTGGCACGGCTGCAATAAAAACAAAGACATGAATTACATTTACTGTGACATTTTACTTAAAAAATCAAGACCCGGATGGTTTTTTTTCTGCAACATACCTGCTAATTCCAATTTGGCTCTGGCATCCTTGTCCTTAGCTATGACTCTATAATCACCCTGATCACGCGGTCTTATCTCACAGACCTGGAGCCTGTGAACCTTGCCCTCACTTATCATTTGGTACTTGTCACCCTGGACAATGACCATATTGTTCCTTAGCCATTTTACTTCAACTCTGTCTTTGTTGAGCTCAACCTCAAAAATAACATCCGAACCAGGAGCTTCAAATATATCTTTAGGGGGGGTGATTATCTCCACTGGGATTTCTGGGGAAAAAGCAATAGTTAAACATACAAGAAAAATAAATCACAGACAGACAAATGAAAAAATATTTATAATACACTTACCTTCAACAAAAAGTCTAGCCCTTATACGCTTCTCATTAACACCACAGGCATATTCACACTCGTCATCAGGTCTACATTCTTTGATATGTAGCTTGCACATCTCGCCTTCTTTCTCAAAGAAATATCTTGAAAGACATAAAAAGATCGGCATTACAATTTTTGACTAAACTGCTTCCAATAAAACTGCTTCCCAGGAAGTAAAGACTTACCTGGGTCCTTCTTTGATCTCGCGGCCATTCTTGTACCACTTGACCTCTCCTTTGTCTTTGGTGAGCATGCAGGAGAATTCAGCATCTTCAAACTCGGTGACAGTCTGGTCCACGAGTTTTGTTAGGAAGTCAGTCGGTGCCTCGCTAATAATCAGCTCAGCTGTGGACTTGTCAGAACCAGCAATAACGGAGTATTCAGCTTCATCAGCCAAGCTACACTCCTTGATAGTCAACATGTGCTTATCTTTATCCACTCTGTACGAGATGTGTTTGTTGAAGGTGATCTCTTCACCTGCCTTCATCCACTGTACTGTTACATTTGGTTTATTCACTTTGCAAGAGAAGGTAACTGTCCTCTTTTCTTGAGTCTCACAGTCCTCAAGGGGCTCAATGATCCTTAGATCCTCCTCTGCAATTTAGAGTAACGATTAATAAATTCCAAAGTCTCAAACAAGATGATGATGATGATAATAATAATAATAATAATAATAATAATAATAATAATAATAATAATAATAATAATAACCTTGTACAGTGAGTTGGGCAGAGCTCTGAGCATGTTCACCACGCTGATTTGTTAATGTTATTGTATAGTTGGCTTCATCAGATTTCTGAGCATCTCTGATTCTCAGAGAAAACACATTGTCCTTCTGAGACATGACACATCTTCCACTGTCAAAAATTGTTTCATTGTTTTTCAGCCACTTTGCTTTGGCACTTTCAGTATTTGCCTCACAATTAAAAACTATTTCCTGGCCTTCATCTGTTTCAGTATCTTTGATAGGTGTTATAATCCGGAGCTTTTCTGTAAAAACACAATAAATTTAAAACTCGAGACAAAAAACGATTAACACCGTATAGCACAGTTTATTTTCAATAAAATCATATAAATCAGCATATTTATACATTCATACGTGTATAAAAAGTACTTACCAATGACAAACAGTTCTGCAGTAGCCCTTGTAGTGCCAATAAGGGCAACGTATGGTCCCTCATCCTGTAGCAGGCAGTCCTTAATGATTAGTGCCCTTCTCTTCCCATCACAAACAATGTCATATTTTTCCCCAGCTTCAAGCTCCTTGTCACCCTTCAGCCATTTAACCTCATATGTGTCTTTGGAAACTGAACAGACAAACTCCGCCTTTTGACCTTCAACCACTTCTTGGCTTTGTGGTCTTGATATAAAGTCAGCAGCCAGTTCTAAAAGAAAACAACAATACCTTCTGAATATTACATGGCAAATTTTATTTTACTTGTATATATACAAGTATTAACTTCATATCAACGGCATCTGTATTCATTGTGATTATATTCTCATGGTTCATACTGTATGAATACAAGCAATCGTTGTAGAATTTCATCCTTTACCGTGTAGATCTTACCATTAATCCTCAGTGTTGCTGAGGTTCGTGAGCTAGGTAGGCGGCAGTTATACTCTCCAGTGTCGTCCATGCAGAGGTCTCGAATGATAAGTATCCTCTTTCTGCCATCTACGATCTGTTCATATCTGCCTCCCTCAGGTAGCTCCTGTTCACCTTTGTACCATGTGACGTCTGCGCTGGGCTTTGAAACCTCGCAGACCATCTTAATGCTGTCAGTTTCAGTGCCCTCTATATTAGACAGATTCTTTGTAAACGCTGCTTCTTCCTCTGGAACAAAAAAATATCATTTGAAATTTAAAAATTAATAATCGTTTAAACTCTTGTGTGAAATAATGTAGCAAAGTGTATTTATATAGCACATTCTCATATACATTCAGAGTGCTTTACAGAAAAAGATAAGATATAAAACGCATAAAATAATAATAATAGACATAAAATGGGAAAATTAAAAAGGATCTGAGAAATGGAGCAATGCTCTCTCTTTCTCTCTCTCTCTCTCTCTCTCTCTCTCTCTTCTTGGTGTTACTGTAGTTAGGAGACAGGGAGCCACTGTAAGGATCTGAGAACTGGAGTAATGTAATCTCTCTTCTTGGTGTTAGTTGGGAGACAGGGAGCCAGTGTAAGGATCTGAGAACTGGAGTAATGTAATCTCTCTTCTTGGTGTTAGTTAGGAGACAGGGAGCCAGTGTAAGGATCTGAGAACTGGAGTAATGTGCATGCTCTCTCTTCTTGGTGTTAGTTAGGATTCTAGCAGCATCATTTTGAATGAGTTGAAGTCATTTAATGTACTTTTTGGGAAGTCCAGTCAGGAGATCATTAGAATAACCCAATCTACTGGAGATAAATGCATGCCCAAGTTTCTTTTTGTAGCACCCAGAAGGTCATTGACAGAGCCCAATGTTGTGCATGAAGACACAGATATACTAAGGATTTATCATAAATAAATCCCTAGTATTTTCATTTATGTGCCTTTTTTCCTAATTATAGTTTTGGACAGAAGAGTGAATAAATCCTAGAAAATAAAGAAATTATCTGATAAACTAGGCTCCTAATATTAATAGTAGGAACACTAATAGTCATATTCTTTTATGTTTCAGACTTCCAAGAAAAGTTACATAATGTTCTTCTGAAATTGAGAACCTGCCTAAAAGTTTTCTTTTAAAAATTATCACACAAACTGTAGTTTATGATCAGACACTGTCAAAGTTACGAACCAAAAAACATCAAGTCTGAGAAGATCTGTCAGAAGCAAGTATGCAGTCAATTGCTCAATCTGAAATCTAAACATGGAAAAATTCATTTTTACTATCAATAATCAGATACAGTGGTACCTCAGTTCTCAAAATCAGTAGAACTTGAATTTCTTAATAGTCGAACCATCCAGTTAGAAAAAATGACCTAGAGCTCGATCTGAATCTCAGAATTCAAACCGTGAATGCCGACCTAAGATAACTTGTACACACGGGGAAATGAGTCACGCAGCACGTCTCTCAGCAGAAACAAAGGGTAACGCTTCAGTCTCAGCCTCGCATTCACTGATAGCATCGTGCATGTTTACACTAGCTAAATAAATATATTTAGACAGTAAAAATACATTTAGACAATGATAGACAGTAACAGTAATTATTATATAATAATAAAATACGTTTAAAAATAAAGATTTCTTATTAATTAATTTTATATTAATAAATCATTAATACATTTAATTATAATAATATTGTTGTGCCGAGCGGGATGGAACGGACACAAAGGCGCAAACGTCAGGGTATCAGGGAATACGGGATTTAATACAGGTAAAGCAAGCAAAACGCAGACGGACAATACAATGACTGGACTGGGAAAACAAACTGAAACGCGGACTAAATACAGAGGACTAATGACAACAACCAGAAACAGCTGATCACACGAGGATTCCACACGGGGTTAACGAGGGGGCGTGGCACACGGAAGGAGCGGACAACCGGGGCAGGTCACATTGTTTTTTTTAACTTTACACATTGTTTGGATACATTTATTTTCTTACTTTACAAATTACTGTTTTGATAAATGTGCTTAGATGTGTTTATTACAGTATATGCTTTTCTTGCTCCATTATTTCTTATGGGCAAAATTCGATCAGATCTCGAACTTTTTAGGATTCGATCCGGAGTTCTGAACGGATTAAATTTGAGTTCTGAGGTACCACTGTATTTGGTTTCATAAAACTTTTTATTCATATGGCAAAATTTTATAACTCCATTTATAAAACATTGGAAGTACAGGTGTATAATTAATTTAAACTCACCAATGACAGTAAGCATTCCAGAAGTTTTAGAGGTCTTAGCATCACATTCATACTCAGCCTCATCATCAAAGACTGCTTTGTTGACAATAAGAATGTGCTGGACACCCTTGGCAATGATCTCATACTTCTTGCCTTTTCTTATTTCACTGCCATCTTTAAACCATCGCACCTGTTTGGGAAAAAAATAAAGAAAACATCACATTTGAAAAAAACTCAATGTTGTGGTGACACACTAAATTCACACAGAATAAAGAAAAACCCCACATCAGATAGAATATTTGCAATGTTTTGCATGCTACTTTATAGTATTTAGCATACCTTTGCATTTTCCCGAGAAACTTCACATTCAAACCTGGCTGCTTCCTTCTCTTTCACCTCAACATCATGGAGTGGCTTAGTGAACTCAACATGTGGAGCTGCCACGACAGACATATTTTGTTAATATCATTTGCAATAAATCAGCATTAGTTCTTTTATTTGTATTTACGTGACTATAATACTCACGCTCAACATTAAGGAAGGCAGATGTTTTGAAATCTTTTGCATCACAGGTGTAAGTCTTGGAATCATCAAGTGTGCAGCCCTGAATGATGAGCTTTCTCTTTCGCCCATCAGTTACAATGTCATACTTCTTAGTTTTGTGGATTTCTTGTCCTTCTCTGAACCATCTGACCTCTGCTTTTTCCCTGGAGACTTCACACTCCAAAATGGCAGTGGCCTCTTCCTCTACAGTTTGGTCTTCCAGAGGTTTAGTAAACTCAACGGGTGGTTCTGTAACAGAAATAATGTACATTTCAAAATTTGCTATTTGTAAATAATGACTGATGATATAAATGTACTATAATGAAAAATGTAAATTTCGCCTAAAAAAGATTCTCATATGGCATCTGGGATTACATTTTCTGATTTGGACTGGTCAGTTATATGCCAATCGAACTGTTTGTATATTTGATGACAACTAAACAAAATATCAGACCATTCATAATATTGCTTATCATCTTAATTTTTCATGTACTTGTTGCAAAGAAGCTGACATACAGTACTAGCGAAATTAAGGAAAATGTCCATACCATTCACAATGAGTTGAGCCTGAGTGACAAAGTCTTTAGCCCTTATTTCTACCACTCCAGCATCTGTCAGTGCTGTGTCTCTGAGCATCAGGGTATGAACTCGCCCATCCATACGAATGACAACCTGTAAATATCAAAATGAAAGTGATCAAATCTAGAAACTAAATAAATTATTCATCCATTATATTAATAAATAAAGGCAGTATTCAACAATTTTTTTTATTGCAGTAAATTAGTCATATTAATTTAATAGCACATTGATACTAACTAGATTGCTTGTATTGGTAGAATGTTTGTAACAATCCTTTAACTTTCCCAAAATGGAGCTACAGAAAACAGGGAAATATACACATCTCTTTCATTATGCACCACTAAAATAGCATAACAGGATTATTTAATAAACAAGACCATAACAACAACAACAATAATAATAACAATATAGCCATAACGGAAATGATTTAACATACCCTCTCACTTGACTCCAGCTTAATGTTTCTAAGGAACCATTCAACTTCAATTCCTTCATAGGACAATTCACAGTCAAAAGCAGCAGTTTCTCCAGCAGTCACTGTAACATCTTTGATTGGTCGTAAAAGCCCAATCACCCGAGCTTTTTGATGAGAAAAAGTCATTGTTAGTCATCCTTAAATCTGAATAATAATAATAAAAATAATAATAATAATAATAATAATAATAATAATTCTGGTAATAGAAAGTCTCACGCTGATAACTGCTTGCATATAGCTAATTTTCCAGATTTTTCTTTATATGGCTGTTTTTAATGTTTTAGTGTTTGTTACTTACCTTTTACTTTGAGGTGAGCACTGGATTTAGCATTGGCAGCTTGAAAGTCTACTGTACCAGCCTGGTTCCTGAGCACATTGTAGAGGATCAGAATATGCCTGGTGCTCACTGCCTTCATTTCACAATCCTTAGAAGGGATGAAGAAAGTACACCGTTAAAATGAAAACGAATTGACTGATTTTACATCTTACACTTCTCTGTGTTTTTGTCAAATACAGCATGCAATTTATTACAACAATTAAGAGAATAATTCACTATCTATATATATTACAGCAGACTGGTGAAGAGTCTCTCCTCTGAGCTTCCAGGAACCATGGACATCCTCCTCAGAGATGTCTAACTCAAAGCGTGCAGACTCCATTTCAGTCACCTCTATGCTGGACAAAGGACGTATGACCATAATTTCACGTTCTACAAAAGAATAGAAAATATGACCTGGGGTTCAGTCTACTGAAATACAGAACTTTCAAAATGCATAGAATACCACCAGAAAATGCTGAAAACACACCTTCTATGTCAAGTTGTGCAGTAGTCTTTTCAGAGCCACAGTCACAAATATACTCCCCAATGTCATCCTTCTGTGCTTTCCTAATAATCAGCACACGCTTACTGCCATCAGATTTGATTAGTACATTTTTGGATGGAGTGACTTCCTTGCCATCCTTGAACCATTTCACTGCAGCAGCCGGCTTGCTCACTTCACACATTAGCACCACTTCATCCTTCTCCACTGCAGTATAGTCCTGCAGTTTGGTGATGAAGTACGGCTCTCCCTCTGTGAAGCCAGAAGAGATATTCTAAGCTTAATTTACTTTGAATCCTGAATGAGACACAAGCATTCTAAGATAGTAATATAAGACAATTCTAATTGCACAGAAATATATTTTGATTTTCATATTAATTTACGATAAAATGACTTGTGCTTTCATATGCTCTACATTCTTACCAAG